CCCCCCCCCCCCCCCCCCCCCCCCCCCGCCGTCGTCCCAATAACTCAGACTGATGAACACTACAAGGACTTCTTAGCTCAAGAGCCGAGAGGAAGAGGAGGGATGGATGCTGGGAAGCACCGTTTGGTTGGCGTTTCAGCAGATTTTCAGTCAAAGGATTTCTTGTGTTGTTGAAACAGGATATCTAAGTTCTTCTGATCTTCACATTCACCTCCCCCTAGCTTTACAAAACCTGTGTTGTCTTTGTCATTTACCTTTGTTCAGGAAATTATCTCCAATATTTTATTGTTATTTTTCCAGTCCTGAGAAACTGAGTGAAGTTTTTGCCCTGCGAAACTTGAAAGTTTTACCTTCTAGCCAATGTTTTTGTTGGGCAAATTCAGTGGAATCCCCGTTCTTTTATCTAGAAAACATTTATTGGAGGAAGAAATAAAACGTCATGTTACGACGTTATGCAAGACATTGCACCACCCATTTTTGCAATTATGCTTCTCCCAGAAAACGTTATGAGGTTTCACATGCTCTCTGGATTACAGCCCCAGAGTTCAGAGCTCTCTCTTCTCCGTAACTCAGCCCACATTTTGCTCAACAGGATTTGGCTTTAGGACCTGAGATTCCCATTGTGCATTGCTTAGTTTGGTATTGGATAAAGCTGACTTGGGTGAGAAAATAATTAAATTAATTCACACGCCAGGGGTGCATGAATAGCCTGTTTACAGCATCTCAATCTTAGATTTTAACTTGGTCAATTCAAAACCTTAAGCTTTTTCTTAATTATGTTAGTTTTTTTTTTTAAATATGGTGCTTGTGCACCCCATCTTCTGATGTTACCCTGGGAAATTGCCTATATCGAGAGAGACTAAAATAAAGGCTGTGTTTCCCATTTTGCTATGGCCTTTGAGTTGGATCATAACATTTAACATTTTTCTGACATGCTGTGTCCGACTGGGACTCAATATTGGCTAACGGCTAATCTTAAGTAACCTGTCCTAAGTCTAATTTAGAAACATACTTAACTAGAAGAGAAACAACAAATAACTAAAAGAAAAACAACAAATAGCTATCCTTCTGGCTCTTTAGAGGCAGCAGATTTTAGGATTGGTTGGTTTTAAAAGAAATAGCACTAAAGGTTGAGAATTTAAAAAAAAGTATAAACAGAGTTTTAGCTGTGTGTAAAGCAGACTGAAAACTTTCTTAACAATGAAAAAAAAAACAGCAAAGCTTCAGAAACACAGACTGATTTAAAAACATCATAACTCGCTGGGTAATGTCTGTCTTTCTCCCCCACTCGGCACCCAACCTGCCTTTGACCAATTGGAAACGTGGGCGGTAGAGACTGAACAGGAAAAGGAGCCATTAATATTTTATCACTGTACCTGGCAAAAGTAAATGTTGAGTCCTGGCCGCTGATAAACAGCCCCATCAAGCCCCAGCAGATCCAACGTACTCAGTTTGATGTAACTGAGGGGCTGTAAAAACCTTAATGCATCTTTGAGTCAGTCTGGATAAGACGCCTGATTAAATGCCAGAACGTCACTTCGACAACCCGCACCACTCCGCTCGGCAGAGGAGTGAAAAGCAAGTCTGCGTTTATAGGGTGAATCATCTTCCCAAACCACTGCGTTAAATTTAAGTTTATCCTTTATTTATGATTTTAAGGACATTACGCCTTCATCTCCGGTCATTAGCACCCAAGGTAACGGCATGTTTCCGCAGATGATTTCCTCTGGGACATTTCGTCTGCGTACTCATTTAGAGAATGTCCTGAATCATATTTATGCATGTGAAAAACACTTATTAGCAGCAGAGTCAAGTAGAAGACAAATAGCCCTCTTTGTTTGGGTTGGATGTTAAATGTAGAGACAGGGGACCGCGCTTCACTTTCCTTCACCATCATTGACCTAAATCCACTGTGGTCAGGAAACAATGAAGGTTTTCCTCGTAGCTCAGAGGACCATGAGATTGCTTTTTTAATCTATACATTAAGAAATATGAAAAGCATGCATCACCTTACTTCCACTACTTTGTGGTGGCTAATCACAGAAAATGCCAATAAAATACATTAAAGCTGCAGTGCAACTTTTATAAAAAATAATTGATAAAAAATTTTTTTAAAGTGTCACCATGTCGTCACAGTCCGGTATGAGACAGAAGATCTGTGAAAAGATTGAGATCCTCAGAGCTGCTAAGTGATGCACCGCTAGTCAAAAACAACCAATCAGGAGGAGCGTTTTAGTGTGGACTTCCTGTTCATTGTACTGACAGCGGAGAAACTGTTTTTTTTTTTTTTTTTCATTCTTTTACTTGTTTGTAGAAAAGATTAAAATGACCATAATAATAATAAGAAAAGAAAACTGTTTACCCACTGTCATTGGTGCCCATGCAAACTAGCTTCAGCATTGATTGCAGGCTTTGTTGTGGTGAACCCGCTGCAGCAAAGAAAAGGAGAAAGTTGAAGGATGAAGGGTTGTGAGTAGCATGAATATGAGCTTGATTGACAGCTTTAAACCCCGCCTCCTGGCTCTGATTGGTTGTTTCTAGTTAGCGCTGCGAGAAAGCGGAGAACTTTTTTTTCCCGCAGATTACACATCTCATATTGTTACGACGAGGACAGTTTTAACAAATATTAATAATTAATAAAAGTTACACACTCCAGCTTTGAGAAAGGGTTGTTGTTGTACCGGCTATGGGTACCATTCAAAAGCCTTAGCAGCGATAGGAGGAGAGAGAGCAGCCTGGGAGAACCCGGAGGGGCTGGACGGCCTCGGACGAGCCTGTGTGGAGCGCCAGCAGCAGTGTGGGTCACGGAGGGGGACAGACCCCGACCCAGCTACCCCTCCATGCCGTCACCATATGGCTGCGGTTTCTCCGGCAGCCCTCTCCAATCGTGTTCTGCTCCTGCAGGAATCCCTGCGGGCCTGGAGAGGCAGAGCGCCAACCTGCATGTGGCAGCAGAACATGCTAGCATCACAGTTCAGGAACGCATACAGACACCTGATGAAAGACATCATAAATCATTTCAAGTAACAGGCAGGGTGAAAACAAGTGAAGGTTTAAAGAAAAGAAAAAAAAACTCACTGCCATCCATCTGAAACTTATACTTTTTATTATTAATACTCAACACTTCATTTTGTTCATCATGTACAAAGAGAAAGAATAGTCTTATTTCAGCACTTATAATGGTAGATATCGGCATTATCCTTATTAGAAGTACCTTAATGATGTTGTTTTTTTTTTTTTCTTTTTTGCAGTTTTGTCATGACATGGTTAAATTTGCTATTGAGAATACGTCAATCATTTTTAATACAAAAAAAGGTGAAGGTAAATACTTTTCCCCCAGTATTTGGTATATACAGAACCTGTACAATTAGCTGTTTTTGTGTGGTTTTTCTGCTGTAAAAATTTTGGCATTATTTCAAAGAAAATGGCCAAGAAAAGAGAAAACAACGGCCAGGAGCAATGTTGTGTATGATTATGCATACCAGTGGTCACTGCTCATATGTTACACTTCCGCCAGCCACGGGTTACTGTGGTCAAGTTATGCAGTCTCTGTGGTTTTTGGCGACTTCTTCTCGCTTTTTGGGAAATACATTGCGTTGCAACCCCTTATGCAACACAGAGCAAATACCTCAGGAATGACAGTGAGTGAAGATGGAAAACAAGAATATTAACAAACAGAACTGTACACAATTGAGTAGAAAATTTGGTGTGCATCAATATGAAGCAGTATCAAGAGATAGTACACACACAGCACATTGAAAAGTATTCCAACCCCTTAAACTCTTCCACATTTCGGGGTTTTATGTGACAAATCAACACAAAGCAGGGCATAATTGTCAGAGCGGAAGGGAATTTACATATAGTTTTCAAAATAAAAAACAAAAATAAATGTGGTATGAATTTGAATTCAGACCCCTTTTCTTTGATACCCCTAAAGAAAAACATAACCAGTTAATTTTAAATGAAAACCAGTAGCGTCCCCAGAGTGTAATTTGATCCCATCTCTGAAAAACAAAGACAAATTATTTTATTTAGGGCTATCAGAGTAGAAGTGGCTCAAAACAATTATGTCTAAATTTCAGATCTTTATTTCTAAAAATAAAAATATTTGAAGTATTCAACCATGCTTCCTTTGATATACCTAAATAAAAATGGCTTACCTAATTAGTAAGCACAGCCAAAATGTGTGATTAAAAAAAACCAAAAAACTATTGAGGTGTTAAGAGTAGGGGAGGAAAAATACAAATGTTTGCTCCAATTTTCAGAGTTTTTATTTGCAGAAATATTTGAAAACCATTTTCCTTTAACCACCTTTACTTTGATATGCCTAAATAAACAAACAAACAAACAAAATCAGGCGCAGTTATTGTAGAGGCCAAAACTATGGATGATTTTTCTTAAATATTTGGCAGACCCCCAGTTCAACTCGCTCTATCAGATAAAATCCCAGTAAAAGGTATTGCAGTTTCATGTGACAAAATTTAAGAGCCATGAATTCTTTTGCAAGGCACTGTATACACAGACAAACACACAGAGGTCTGTAACTAAAATACGAAGGGGGGGAGAAACACAGTTTTCAATGAACAGAGAGCAACTGATAGAGTGTGAACTGCTTAGTTACATAAAGATTCAGAACAATCAGTTATGTAATATCACAGTTTAATTCTTCCTGTCTGCATGGGACGAAATCACACGACTGACTCATCTTTTTTATTATTTCTTTTTTCAAATAAACACAAGCAGTTTCAAAGTCAGGAAAGTGAATGTCATCATCACACACCTGTCTTCCTTTTCTGCCCTCATTCGGGTCGATATTCCTGATAGAAAAGAAAAACACCTTCCACCGTGTTGTAGCCCACGTGCGTGTTAGAGCCACTTCTTCTTCGTGTGTTAACACCGGGGAAAGAGGGGACACAGTGTTTTGCCCTTCGTGAACCAAATATGTTGTGACATGCTCGTTTGCAGAAACCGGAGACTAGGACCAATTTGGCCTTAAGGGGGACTAAAGACTAATGACAAGCCCAACTTAATCTGCTTCACAGCCGGACCTGAGCTGCAGGGGTGAAAATCTGACGGTCGGTATGATTTTTTTTTAACAGTATCAGGTACACCTCTACGTCATAGCCCACAGGACTTAGCTAGCCCTTGCTAGCCACCCTGATGCCTGTAAAACAAGAGCTGATAAATTAACATATTTAGAGTACAATATGAACATTATTTGTTTGGTTGTGCTGTTTATTGCAAATGACTTGAATTATTTCAGTGCCTTGTAGAGGGGGAAAAATGGACCGCTAACAGAGTTTATGTGCACACCGATACATTTTTCACTTTTCAATCAACCCCGTGGACACGAAAGCAGTTAGAGAAAAGAAGGGGAAAAAAAGAAACAGTGGAAAGATGAATTTCTTCTCTCAGGCTGGAGGAGAAGATTACACGGACTTATTGGAATTAGAACCACACAAAATAAGGAGGAGAAAAATCATTTCCGAATGCATGGCGTCTCACATGCGCCCGCTGCAAATTAATAAAGATGGTTCCCTCTCTCTAATGCAGAGGAACACACACAAGACATAAATAAAGAATCAAATGAATGAGAATACGGAGCATTTTAGGGCTTTTCGGCTGTCAAGTAACACAGTTTAGCAACGCGAGTTCAAATAAAGCAGCGGGGGGGAAAAAGCCTGCACAAAATGAGACACGACGGAACAAATGTTTCACCTTTTAATAAGGGGTTGCACAAATGCATTTCAGCCGCACTTTCACGGAGATGACTCTGCACTTCGGCTTGGTTGGTTTCTCCACAATATTTTGCTGAAACTCTCAGCAACATCAACACTGGAAAAACGTCCAGTGTGCCTAAGTGTGTGTGTGTGTGTGTGTAAGTGTAATCTTCCATTACCACAGTGATGTCTATCCCAAACAAAGAGAGGGAGCAGGATAGGCCGGGCCGATGATGGCTCTAAATTCTGTGTGCAATTGCCGTTTAGAGCCCAAGTCCAAAAAAAATGGGCAACAAAAAACACAAACGCCTCGAAAACTTTTAAACAAGAATGGCTGCTTCGAAATGAAGGATCACAATATACTGCTGCCTCTATATGCAAATATCACCTCTGTATACATGTAATATCGTATTATATAAATGTTTAGATAATTGAATCTATGCCGAAAAGCATGGAGAAAGAGCTTATCTTAAAAAGGTAGAGTCTAACACAATCCAAGGGAAACTTAACATAGACTCCTAAAACTAAGCTTTCCCTTTTTTTAATCACTAAACGTCTACACCTACAGTAAATTATCCTCAGTTTGCAACAATTTAGAGAAAATAATAATAATAATAATAATAATAATAATAATAATAAAAAAAAATCAGAACTCTTAACATAATCCGTATTGGTAAAACTATTATAATCAAGTAAACATGAGATTTAAAGAAAAAAAAGGTTCAATTATATCACTTATGATTAGTAATATTTGTGTCTTATTCTATATTTTGCATATTTTTATTCAGATTTTTTTTTATTTTATGAGTTTTTATCACAGTTTTATTTCTTAAATTGTAAAACATACTGAAAGTTACATCCTGTCTGTCTGTTTACTGTACAAAGTGAAAAGATTCTTAAATATATATTTATTTACATGAAAAAGATCGAACGTACTAATGCTGACACTGATGCCCAAACCAAAGTCTCTCAGATTCTTAAACGGGCAGTTCTGAGTTTTTGAAGTGAGGCTCTCTGAAGTTATTACTCGCGATAACTGCTCTAGCTGTGACGGAAAAACATCATGTTGCAGTCGGTTTATAGAAAAGTTAAGAAATGATCTGATTTCAGCCAGAAATATGTCTGGAAAACATTCCAATAGATAAAACTAAACACTAGATTAGCAGATCTTACCTGTTTGTGCAGGGGCTGTTGTTTTCTCAGCCAAACAACATGCAACCAATGTAACTGCATATTATTAGCAGTTAGTCTTCCACTAATTAAAGGCTGCTATTATGTTGGTTTATCAAAAGAAATGTATGTTACATGTGTCTAATGCAGATTAAATTAACACATTTTGTGTTATAAAACACCGTTGGTTTGCAAAATAGATTTGTACTGGTTCAAAATGTGTGGCGTCCTATAACCGGATAGAGTATATTAATATGCTGAGTCATCACCTTCTTTTTGTCTGATCATTTTGGGCTTAAAATTCAATGCTCTATAAACAGTCTAAGTACGCCCTCAAGAGGTTAAACATTCCCAAGCTGAAATAATCAAAAAGTAGGTCAGACTGCCCATCCGTTGGAACCACTCCAAGTATTTAGCACGAGTGAATTTTCCAAGCAAACAGAGCCTTTGCATGGTGTCACATGAAATTAAGTGATGTTATTATCGGATCATTGCCGTGGCATTTTTGTAGCACCTACATTCATTTTGTAGCAGTGGCGCGTATATGTGCTGTTTATGGTGTCTTTAGCTGTAAAGGCTCATGCCATATTTCCATATGTAGAAAATAGGTAATGCAATCTGGCTTAACTGGTGATGAAACTAGCAGCTGTACTGTCAAATCTGCAGGAAGACTTTGTTGAAACTCTATAGTGTGATTGATGTATAACAACTTTTTTCACTTTTCTCCTTAACTCACTGCAATAACGAATCTTTCTAGTGCAACTAAAGAAACTACTCTTGATAACATCACAGAGCCTCGCTTCAAAAATCGTAACTAACCATTTATTTCTGCGTCAAACCCTTCTTCCTCCTTGCTGAGTTTGGTTCACCTGAACTTTCAAAATGTGTATAAAAATTCCAGAGATCCCAAGTTATTTATTAGGAGTGTCATGGGGGGTGTATGTGGGAGGGAGGGAGGGTGCATCTGATTTAAGGCTAACTCGATCAGTCTCAGTGTTATCCGAGGAGTTAGGGAGTACAGGCTGTTGAAGTAATGAATATTTAACAGCGTGATTAGGGGGGAAAAAGCACTTATTGTTGAATAATGGTCTGGTTCTCTTCAAACGCACAAACACACATATCAACCTATTGCATGAGTGCTTTTATATTGGGGTGTGACATAATTACAAAAATCGTTTAACACACAGTCCGGTAGGTCCTCTCTGTGGCCAGTACTCCTGTATGAAATCTCTCAGCCCTTGAACTTGTGACACCAACCAATCATAGATCGGACCTTCAAATAACTAATAGAAGCCTCTGAAGTCTGTACATGATGAGTCAACTTGGGGGAGAGGGATCATAAGGCATGTCTACTGAGTGCCCAAACCTACACTGAGTAAAATGTCCTGTGCAATAAATGAGGCCTCTTTAGCTAAAGACTATCTACAACAGTCTGAGTAAAAAAGAAAAAAACAATCTTTCACAAGACAGCTGCCTTCCCGTTGCCTAGCCAGTTCCTCAACCCTGCCTTTTATCAGCTTCTTCTACAACTTCGTTGTGGGAGGTCTGCATAAGTGACAGTGCATAATGTTGGTTTTACACAATGTCCAAGCAAAGCTTTCTGTGCGAGCCTCCCAGACTGTTGGTGTGATGTGAAGTAATGCTAGCAAGAACCAAGTGACAGGTGTTGTGTAGGATGGATAAAACAGGTGGTCTATAGGCTTCCATTGCTATGAACTGAGACACATCAGCTTATTAGTAACAGTGGGACATCCTGATTACGACTGGTTCATAAAACACCATCCATACCTGACATATGAAATATTTTTACGAAGGTATAAAAGATCTCAAACAGCGTCTTGTATGGAAACCATCATCATCAGTAGCCTGCTGTCGAATTTCTACAGCGGGTTTGGCTCATATGTGACGGCAACACTGGGCAGCCTGAATGAGCGCTGGTCTGTTCTGGTGCAGCTGCGTGTGAAACTGGAGGACACTTCCACTGGAGACCTTTAAGGCACGTCCTTCCTCTCAGTAGCTTCTGGTGAAAACGTTGTTCTTCACAGTAACACGAGTTCAGACTGACAAAAAAGAAAAACTGAAGAAAGAAAAAGAAACTGTGTGTGTTTTGAAGCATGTGCGTGCTTGATTATTAGCAATGTCTTAAAATATCAAGAATTTCCCAGCTCCAAATGTGTCTTTGAAATCCTGGAGCAGATACACGAATGGTCATGGAGTAAAATATTCTACAGAAAACAGAAGAAAACACAGGAGTAAAAAATTCAGTCTTTCTGGCTTGTTGGTTGAACCAAGAACAACCTTCCTGGCACCACCAGGAGCAAATGGAACACAACTACTACAGATACTTAGAGAATAGTCAAATACTATACCAACAGAATACAAAACAAAATGTCTGGTCTCACAAGCAGAGTTACCATAAACAGCATGAATGTCTTTGTTATTCACAACGTTATTGTTGTTCTTATACCCTGTTTTTCTATAAGAATATCTTATTATCATTCATGATTGTAATTGTCATCAGCAAACAGCTCTTTAGGTGTCAAAGATATGGAGGAGAAGCAGGGGCAGAGAAGAAGAGGAGTGGGTAAGGGTTCAGGGAGAGATGTCCAAGACAGGCTGTGTTGTGGCTCTAGCGAATGTGACGACGTCTAATTTCTAAATTGTCACAGGGGCACATGGGCAGTTCTCTCCTGTTGCCGCTCTTGCTGTGGTTCCTCACAAGCACCCAGCAGGAGCCCTCAAACTGTGGCCCCTGTAGAAAACTAAAACAAGGTGATTCTTTGTCAAGATATTAATGTGACTTTTAGCACACTGGTGGCTATGAGGATGGAACTTGTTTAAGTGTAGGGCTTTTGTGAGATTAAAGACAATGTTGATTGATTGTATGTGGATGTAAAAGTAGAGTAGCTTTGGCCATTTTAAGAGAGGTTTAGCATCCTTAACCCCCTAAGGATGTCCTGATTTTTTATTCCTATCTTCATTCTCTATCTTGTACAACAGTCTCTACCTGTTTTGCCTCTGCCACTCATTTGACCCTTCTTTCAGTCATCTCTTTGTGTCACCATGAACTCAAGCTGCTTTGTGTCTGTATAGTTCTAAGAAATACCCCTGATCTCCAAACTCTTTGAACCTCTGTTGCTCTCCTCCTTCTTTCTCTTTGTCTCTTACACGTCAGACTCAATGCTAGAGAGTTTCTCGTACACATGGCCATTGCTTCCATTGAAGGGACGTGGGGGTCCGACTGCCAACATAGACCCGTGGTGGTTCATCCCACCAAGGCTGAGCTCTTTTGGGAACCGGGGGGGCACGTTGGACATCACCCCAGCTGTGGCAGATGATGGCAGATATGACGTTGCACTCAATTGACTCCTGAAGTCACCTCTGCTGTTCTGGGCAACTTGTTGCTGCTGCTGCTGTTGCTTTGTCAGGTAATATTGTTTGGCTCCGTGCATCAGACACTGGTCATCGCCAAAGGTGGGTATAAAGGGGTTTTGGTTTACCCGGTCAGGATAAAGAGATTTGGATAAAGAGAATGCTGCCCCACCTCCACCTTCCATCAAAGATCTGTCTCTCATGTCTCTCTCTCCGATGGAGCGGCGGTGGAGGCCCTCACCCCCTCTGAACAGTCCGAATGGGGAGCCAGAGCCTTTTTGGCTCTCACCTCCATAAAACAGTGGGTCTCTGTCCCTTTCCCTTTCTGAGCCCCCATGGCGTTCAAATATGTGTGCAAAGGGGCTGTTTTCTTCCATATAGCGTTCTTTCTCTTTCAAACTAACACTCCTTGGTGGGGGCAGCATTCCTCCCATCCCAGGTCCACCCATACCTCCCCCTAAGCCTCCCATCAGACTTCCCATTCCACCTGCTTCCTCTTTCTGAAGGTCAACAAATGTGTCATACGAATGCTGCCGCCTTAGCTGCTTCCCAAATCCTCCACTCTTTCTCCTCTGCTGGGCCTGAGATTGAGCCTGAGGGCCTGCGGCCATACCTGCCACTCCTCCCCCGCCTTTCCCTCCCCCCATTTGTTCCAAGGGGTGATTATTGTCCTCACTGATATCGTAGAGGTTTCCTGTCTTTTTACAACCCTCACAGCGCATGCAGGTTGCAGAGCTGGGGCGGCTGCCACCAGCTGAAGACCCACAGCCCATGCCACTTGAATACCCACCACCTCCTCCATGAATGGACATCTGCTTGCCCCCACTAGCTCGACAGTTCCTGCACTCCCATTCTCCCCCTGCCAATCCAGACCCTGGCCCACCCTTTGAGTCAGACTTTTTGGGTTTGCTTTTCAGAAAGTCTTCAACTGGCACCAAGGAGGTGCATGTTGGCACTCCTCCATCTCTGTTTCCAGGGCCCTCCGTCAAGTCCACATGCTCCCACTGAGGGACCCCCTCTTTGGGACGAAACTGGTCAAGATAAAAGTCCCGAACACTCTCCTTTTCCCTGAAGAGGTAAGAGTTCCCATTGTTGTTTCCTCCTCCACCCCCTCGTTTGCGTTCAGAGGGCAACAGTGGCGGGGAGGCAGAGCGTTGGCTGTGGTAGTGGTGGTGGCTGATGTGGTAGGGTTTCCTCCTGTAACCCAGCTCAATTTCGTCCAGTTCCCGTCTGGACTTTGCAGAGGCCGGCCTCTTTTTTAAGCTGTCGCGGTACTGTTTGCGCTTCTTGGCATTACCCTCCAAGTTTCCGTATGTTACAGTGTGTGTGGAAATGTCTGAAACATCTGAGCGTATATTTCCATCATCGTCTCCTCTCCCCCCACAGTAGCTAGGTCCCGGAATGTAAGTGGAGCTTGAGGCACCACCTTTAAAGGAGAACTTCCCGTAGATGTCAGGCAGTCCTCCCTTGAAGCTCTGGCCTGAGGGAGGAGTCTGTCCGGACAACAGGTCGAACTTGCTCATGTTCCTGTGGGTCAGAGCAGAGCAAGGTTGGGTGGTGAAGATGGGAGCCACTCCCCCACCCAGGCTGTCACAGTCAAACATGCCACCCTCCAGAGAACTAGCACTGCCCAAACTGTGGGGTCTGTTGGGAGGAGGACCAGTGAGCCCTGGGGTTGAACCATGATGGTGTAGATAGTGATCTTGGTACAAATTGCTGTCCTTGAGATGAAGGTTGCCAAACGTCCTCTCCACTTCACTGATGTAGTCACTAAACATGTTGTCTTCAGGCATGTAAGGAGGTTTGCAGTCGGAATGGCCAGCCAAGCTGCGGCGATGCTCAGAGATGTCATAAACAGATGAGTCTCGACGGATGAAGTCCAGGGCGCTGTGCGGCGAGCCGTTCACCCCTGACAGGGAGGCCATATTCTTGGCAGTGCGTAGGAGGCGCATGATGTTTGAATGGGTGTTGTTCATGGTGGCTGACGGGGAGTTCAACGCAGAGCTGCTCTTCTCTTCGATTTGGACTCCATGTATGCAGCTGTATATTCCCTGTAGAAAAGAGATACGGAGAAGGAGAAGCATTGTTAGTGCTGCACTTTAATGGTAAATGGCCTGTTCTTGTATAGTGCTTTATCAAGTCCAGATGCTGGAAATATGAACCTCAACCTCAAGTCTTTAGAGGCCTCTAAAAAGGTTTTCTTCCAGCACTTCCCTGCTAGCGCCATCCTAAATTTGCTACAGAAGAAGGAAATGCATGTAAAAACTATAATGTAATTTTTCATAGCTAAAACTGCTTCCCATTTATTCTCTTTAAAATATATTTATTTTATCCTATGAGGTATGAGAGTGTCTAAAAGAGAATGAAATAATTGTATTTTCCTGCCTACTTTGATTCAGATTTTCTGTCTTTTCTGACAGGGATATGCTTCTCTCATTAGCACTCCAGTCACTCCTTAGACACATAGCTGAGGATAACGCAAATGTTAAGTGGCTATTTCTTAAAGTACCAGAAACACTTAAAGAAATATTTCAAGACTGATACTGAAAAAATAAACATGTCAGGCAATAAAAGTTTGGTTATCAACCTAATAAATAAACATTAACTATTGCTTCTACGTTTTATTAGACTGTATAAAAAAATGCTTAAGACTGCATCCTGACAAATGCTTAGAGTGTAGAGGACAAAAAATTAGAACAATCGTATATTGTGAGTAAATATCTATAAACGAATCTACATTTAACAGGATAAGGGAGAAAATCAAAAGCAATGTGATGCAGCATGTTTGCTGCCGTGAAACAGAGCGCAATTGATCAAACGGCACAACCCTGGAAAGAGAACGAAGCGACTTGATGCTAGGTGATTGATACGGGCGGAGGGATTATAAAACCCTTTCAGATCCACTGGTCAATACCTTCAATCAATGTAATTAGAATCTAGCTCAACTATTTCCTCTGGCAGTTATTAAAACCCTCAGTTTCACAAGCCTCTTGGCGCCTCTGGCAGCAACACAATTCCTACTGTAAGACAAAGGCCACATTAAAGGGGGGGGGACAAGCCGAGCCCCTCAGAGACAGAAAGACAAACGGCTCCATTTGCATTCAGTGATGTACGATACAATATTCAGATAAAAATGGATGTTGAGCGGAGGGCAAACCAGGCGTGACAGATGAGAACCTTAGAGGAGCAGATCAATCGCTAAGACTGATTATTCACAGGAGGTTGATCTGGATAACGAAATGGCAAATGGTCAAAACTCAGCTGATCCGTGGGATCAGAAATCTTTTACTGCTTGGCGTCTTTTCCTCGAGACCCTCGTAGTTCTTCCATAGTTCACACATTTCTGGTGATTGGATTGCTGCAATGGCGCAGAAAAGGCTTTGTTCTAATATTTATTTTACAGGCAGTGGTATTGCTTTAATTTCACAGTCTGTTAATAGCAGGAGCTGTTGGGAAAGTAGGTGAAGCTGGAGAGGCACTTGGAGGAGGAAGACGAAAACAAACCCGTTCACCTGGTTTGATGATATTTTTGGCTTTTTCCACACAGAATCATCTCGTCCTGGTTACTGAATTTGTCATATTTTCCCTCCAAAAAAAAAAAAAGTTCTTAAAATTTACTTTCTGGTCAATTTGACTTTTTCACATTTTGTTACTCTTACAAGATTTACTAAAAACAATTAAATTGGCCTCGTTTCCAAATTCCTCTTGGATAAACCTGTTTTCTCAACATTGAACAGTGACATCGTTGCATAATTTTATTAGATCTATTTTTACTGTTTTTGCCTCCAGCAGTTCATTAGTTTAATCATTTAAACTTTTTCTTAGTAGTTTAGTAGCTTAGTGAGTTTGTTGAATAATGTGTTTGACTGTAAGGTTGAATTTTCATTCTTGTCAAACTCCTGCATATTGTATTTATTCCACAGACATGTAATAACTTGATGTTCTGGACTCATTCCTTCATCTATTGTTATTTTAAAACCAAAATCTTAGCAGGTTATTTATAGTTATTCACAGTGAAACTAGATTCCTATAATGTTGAGGGTAACAAACTGTCTTCAAATATCACCTAAGTAGTAAATAGAGTCCACTTGTGTGAATTTTAATCTTGGCATAAGTGCATTAAAGGCCTAAAAGGTGTGTTAGACATCATTAGTGGCCATCTGGACAAGCTGCAGAGATCCACAGGTGGGGGAATCTGTCAACAAGACGACTATTAGTCGTACACGCCTGAAAAAGACCAATTTCGAAAGAAAAGACATGAAGATGGTCTTTTGGTCAGATGAGACAAAAATTGAACTTTTTAACCCACATGCAAATCCCCATGCGGAGAGAGTCTAACATTCCACATCAGTCAGAATAAAGTGGAAAACATTTTGGTGGCAGCATCACGCTGAAGAGGGGTTTTCTCAGCAAGGAAGCAGGTCAGAGTTGATGAGGATTTAGCTAAATACGGTACAATCCTACACTGCAAAAAACACTAAACCCTACTGAATATTTATGTCAAACTTTTAATGCAAACATCTCAGTACATTTGAAATAAGACAAGACTAACTTACAAGTAACTTTCCAGCAAGATATAGAAGCTTGTTTTAAGGAAATACTTTGTTAATCTTTATTTTTAAAAAAGTACTGGTTCCACTGGCAGATTATTTAACTCATAAGACATTCTTCCTATGTTCTGAGTAAAATAATCTGCCAGAGGAACTTGAACTTTCCCATCAACATTAAAGACTTAAAATAAGCTCCTATATCTCTAACTTAAAGTTACCTTTATGTTAGTTTTGTCTTATTTCAACTCTACAAAGATATTTTACTAGGAACTACACCAAAAATACTTGGTAAGATTTTGTGTTTTTGCAGTGTACAGGATAACACTGCTAGAAATAAAAAAAGCAAAACCTTCATAACCTTCATACTAAAGCACAGATTTATCTTCCAGCAGAACAATGATCCCAAACACGAAACTAAACAGTTAGGATGAAACAATAATTATATGATAGAATGGTCCAGTCAAAGTCCTAATCCTGTTGAGAATCAGTGGCAAAATTTGAAAACAGAACATCCCATCCATAGTTACAAAGGCTGAAAAAAAAAATGAGATGTGCAAATCTGGTAGAGACACGCCCTAAAAGACTTTTGCTCTACCTTTACCTCAGGATGACTCTCCTTCCACAACAGATGAAGAACACCATCAGCTGTCCGTGCACGGAGAACATTTCAAGTGATCAGGATGTAGATTGTGTAGCACCTCCTTGTTTATCACGGTCCAAACGTTGCGCACGTTTTTGCTGCGACGCACAAATGAACTTCCATATACTTTGTTGTGAGAGTTGTGCAGAGCGCAGCGATTAAAACCTCCGTTACGTTTACAGTTCTGAAGTCATCAGAGGCTTTTTAAATCAATACAACTCATTTGTCTGAGTGTTTTCAGGTGGGACCCGAAGGACCAGGCTAGTCTGAGGAGAGCCGCTCACCAGGCCTGCAGAGGGAGGGAAAACTAAAGCGAGCGTGCAGACGTGACTGCGTGACTCACGCCAACCGTAACAGATGTCATTTCTCACGGCGCCGGGCCTAGATGTTAATTGTGGCAATAACAATAAGCTTTATTGGATTAGGCTATGAAATTAAAGAAAACAGAATCTGTCTGAGGAGCAGAACGAGAGCGAGGGGAAAAGAAAGATGGGAAAATGGAAGAAATGGCTGCAGCTGAGGAGACAATGTTACAGTAAATGAGACATGGACGATGTGACGCTTTGGACGTCGGGTTGTGCTGAGATGTTAGAGAGTCATAACTCCTGTTGATGTTTTCCTGCCCAGTGCTCTAAATGCAAATCACTTCTTTCTATGAGTGTTTGCCCAGAATATTTTATCATACTGAATCATCTCGCTGTAGTCGTGGACACGCACAGCTCATTCATTTTGCCAGGCTGCGGTAGGGACGGGCGTAATTTCTGCCATTAAGGACGCTTGCTGAATGTTACACAAAGCTTAATTGGTCTCTGTTCCAGCCACCCATACAAATTGTAATGATGCAATAATAATAATAATAATAATAGAAAAGGAAAAAAAAAACATAAGCGAGCGGCTCGGCTTTGAAAATGAGAAGTCAAATGGCGTTTGAGAGGCAAATGGAAATCAGGGGTTGCTCCACATTTTTCATGAAAAATTCAGTAATTTTCCAGATTTGGCTATCCCGGATCCCCGGTAACTTTACCATTGCTTTAAAAAAATGCCCAAATATTCACTGTGGATTTATGACCGATACGTCTGCTGTAAGCAGACTCAAAGTATGGAAGAGAGACTCGAAGGAACCAAGAAAGTGCAGAAGGAACCAAGGACATCCAAATGGACAGAAAGATGCAATGAAGGAAGAAATGGAGGGAAGACACATGAAAAGAGAGAAGTAAAACAGAGGAACAAGAAAAAATGGCAAGTATGGAAAAAGGAGGATTCAACACAGGAAAAGCAGAAGGAAAAAAGTAAGGATACAAGGAAGGAAGGAAAGAATGAATGAATCAACTTCAGAAGTAAATAAAGAGCAAAAGACAAAAGAACAGAACGATCCAACAAAACAAGGGAGGTTAAAGAGACACAAAGAAGCCTGCAATCAAGAAGGAAGGAAGGATGCAAAGACGAAAGGAATGATAGACACAAGGGAGGTATAGAGGGAGGAGGGAACATAAAGGATAAGTAGGTAAGAACAGAGACAAATATGCATGAAAGTACCGACATATTAGGAAGGACAGAAGTGAGGACATTTTGTCAGCTAATAAAGTCTGGAAATACAAACATTTTTCCATTTCAGACCAAAAAAAAAAAACAATAATGAAGCCCTGTTGTTCCAGACTGCATAGGAGCGCTGGTAAACAGACATGGTTACGCACAAACAGACATTAACAAAATAAAACGACCATTATGGAGATAGTAATGAAAGCTGGGCACTCAAGCATGATCAGAGAGCGTGGAGGCGATTTTAGCTTTGCTTTCTGGCTGCACAGCTCCATCAAGGTAACGGAGGGAGAGAGAGAGAGAGAGAGAGAGAGAGAGAGAGAGAGACAGAGAGAGAGAGCAGTAACATGTGGCTCCTCTGCTGTAAATTAGCCACGTGGTTCAGCCTGCACAGGTTCACCTTCAGAGGCATGCAGTGAATTACACCATAGCCAAGTCAAAACAATCGGGATGCAAATCCAACACCTTGAGGTGACTTTGGTCTCCCGGGACGCGGTAATCTACCCTCACTGGTTCAGAGGCTGATTTTTTTTTCCTCCTTGAGTGAATTATTGATTTCAGCTCAGCATTTTGTAAATGTTTACCTCACGGGCTCCAGGAACATGAATCACAACAAAAACTACAGAGGAGAGATTATTGTTTTCTGTAAGCGACGAAAGGGAACGTCTGCCAACTTGTGGCCGTCAGAAAATGGAAAATAAATACAGCGCCTTAAAAAAAACATTTAATTCGTTTGTACTTTTCAATATTTGGTAACTGTAAAGGGAAAGGAAAAAGAAACAATTTTGTAAAATGTAAAAAAAAATTGTATTGAATGTATTCCAACTTTTTACAGCAGGAAGTCTTTAGACTGAACCTGTTATTCATTTCAGATCGAACAGAGTGTCGGTGAACATCAATTTTCAAGGGTTGACAAAGATCCTTAACTAGATATAAGCCTGCACTTTGACTAGGCCATTCAATCATATGGATATGCCTTGACCCTTCCAAACAAGGGTCAGTGGAACAATTTCAGGAACTATTTGTTACAGGAAGTAAATAATTACTGAAAAAAATGCTTTTGAATTCAAAGTTTAATGTTTTAAAATGATGCTATCAGTTTATTTAGTGCATGATATTTAATATATAAGGACATGATTTGTGGAAACCACTCAACTCGTCTGGACCATCTTGCACTGTAAAAAAAAAAAGAAAAAAAGTACATTTCTACAGTAAACCACCGGCTGTTGTTGACAGAACTCCTCCATAAAATGTCTTTCTTTCTTTTTCTTTCTTCCAGCGTTAGATGGCACTTTCATTGTTGATTTTGTGGTAAAAATGACGCTGGAGTCGATGCTTTACTAAAAAAGGAAATACTTAAACTTACAGGAAAAAAAAGTGAATCCCTAACATGAACATGAACCTATAAAGTTAATGTACAAATATAAAATGTACATTCATTTATTTGTGGAAACTTCACGTTGAATCAAACAGCTTTAAATTGTTTAATGAATTTTTCCTGCCACAATCTGCCATTAAATATGCAGATTTTATTTTATTTTTTTACAGTGTGTATTGGGGATGTTGTGCAGTCCTCGACCCCCCTGGGCCCCCCAACCCCTTTTCCCCTCCGTGGCCTCTCACCCTGCTGACGCTGAAGACGAAGCCGGGCTGGCCGGAGCAGACGCCCATGAAGCAGAAGCGCAGCTGCCAGTAGAACCAGTGCTCGCAGATGAAGGTGATGAGGGAGAGAGCCATGGCGGCGCCCAGCATGTAGAAGACCCCGGCCATGTTGTCCACGTCCAGCTGGCTGGACATCACCTCGTTCTTCTCGTGGTGGCAGATCCCCGTCAACCACAGGGACTCCAGCTCCTCCATCTCACCTGGAGGAGGGGGAATGACATTGTAGAGAGGGAATATTAGGGGAAGGACGAAGGCAGGGAGAAGGTGAGGACTGCAACAGATGGTATGACGGGAGAAGGAAGCGGGGGGAGATGGATGAGGGGGGAGAGGGAAAGGCATAAGGAGTTGATGGAGCACTAAAACAGGCAGTAGAGGCGTACAGTGAAAGGCTGGGAAGTGGTAGAAAATGGACATAAAACACACCGCTGAGAGGATGGATGTGATGTCGTAAAGAATTGACGTGGGACGGCCTGAGACGTGGAAGTGATGACGCAGCAGATGAAACGAGGGTTTAATAAACGGTTTGAGGGTTTGCGGGGGACGAGGGCAGCGGCCTTCACAGCACGACCGGCCAGCAGAAACACACACAGGCGCACGTCGATGACATCAAACGCTTCGGTCTCAGCATATGTTCGCAGGTGCGACTGACGCCGCTCCGTCAGCTCACGGTCCCGTTTGTGGGTCACCTTCTGTTTCATCACAAGCTGCTCTCAATCAGAGCGGAGAGAGGCATGGCGGGAATCGCTTAATTAATCATACAGTCAGCGGCGGTGGCTGCACCGTCAGGAGAAAGCAGAGATACAGAAAACACAACTCCTCTGTGGGCCTGTCGACGGATTCAAAGACTCCTGGAGACAATTAGAGATTACTTTTGTTTTAATTTTCTCATTCTGAAAGTGTAATTATGTTTAAAAATATGGATTTTCCTGATAATCTCTTCACAGTGCTACAGTGCATTTCCAGGTTGAGCTCTGTAAAAGATGATGGAAAAATGTAACAGTTTCTGTCTGTCCAAACAAAAAAAAAAGCATCTTTTTTTCAGGGTTTCCTGCTTTTAAGTAGAGCTGGAAGTAAGTCGAGAAGCAGGAAGTATAAAAAGGAAGCTGTGCATTCGATGCTTCACATCTTGTAAATAAATTGTCTGGATTCCTGATGGACGCAGAGGGAAACAGGAAGTTCGGTGATATGGTGTGAAAACCTCTCTCTCTTTTTCACTGATAAAACCTAAGAGATGTTTTGAACTGTAGGATAAAAGGTGATATGCATTAAGGGAGGTAGTTTTTTTGAATGCACAGATTTAACTGGGTACAGTGGGCAGTGGGAGGGACAGAGGAAAAACTTTACTCTCTCAAGAGTGAGAGTTGGCAACCCTGATTCGTTGGCGTAACAAGATTGTGTAGCAAAGGATTTCATGATATTAAAAAAGTAAACTAAAGTCCGTCTTGTGTATCCAAATAAGAAAGTAAGTCATTCTCGACCTGCTCTGATAGTAAAAACAGTTCTCTAAATGCAATTTATTTGTGGGAATACTAAGACTAGCTAAAAACGTTGAAGTCAGTATATGATTTGTACCGTAATTTCCGCACTACGAGCCACTACTTTGAACACTGCGATGTGAGTAATGTACAAGTTTATACCAAAAAGGCTGGAGTGACCAGGAGGACGGCACAAGTTAAAGGACAAATTCACCACCAGATGTAGACTGCCATCAGTCTTTTTTTGTTAAATACTGAGACTGATCAAACTTGAACTGGACGAATCAATACACAGAGTATTTAAAGTTTCAGACTAAGCCTGCTGCAATAAATCAATTAATCGCGTGACAAATTAAAATGTGCTCAGTAATTTCCATTTGCATGACTGTTCATTTTTCTTTCCACCAGACTGGATGACAAAAGTCTTCAGTCTGGTCCATTGGTCTCCACAAGCTCCTTTTTTAAAAGGCAATTCTGTTCACAGAGACTTCATAATTAATTTGATTCATTGTTCATTTAATTCTTTAAATGTCTTCCAGTTCCAGTGTTAAATGTTCGTTAGAAATTAAAGTTTATTGATCTTTGACAGGCGCACTTGCATTATTATATCCATTACTTTTGTACCACTTGAAAATGGTCTCGAAACAACAATATTATCATTTATCCCAATACCATTTGGGATAATGTATCGTCCAGCAGATTCTGTTGTTGTGACTGGCCTATTTCAAGCTGATCAAACCTTTTTCCAATGAGAACATAAAGAGCATCTTCAACAATAATTCGGGCATTAGAACCACTTCAGATTTAGACAAACATAATAAAAACACTAAATGAACTTCTGATGTTATGCAGCAAGTCTTGGTTGATCAGAAAAAGGTCAAGCCACGTGAAAACTTTCTATTTTATAGAAAAAAACTGGAATTAAACGTGTGGTTTCTGTTTTTGTAGCACAGCTCTTGTATATAAGTTTTGCTCCTGCCTGCGTCAAGCAACCCACACACTCCCTCCACAGCGAACCACGGGGCTTTCCGCGTGAGCCGGATCCCTTTCTAGGCCACGAGGAGCCGAGTGGACGGCGAGGCGTGGCAAAGTGACATTGAAATCCTCAGAGGTTGTGAGATAAGGGCCACTCGGTTCCTGCAGTGGCACGGGATGGAGGGGGAGTGTTACAGCGAGCCGACCCATATTCACGTACAAACATACACAAGTGACTCAAAAGTTGGGACGAATGTAGCTCGATCAGAAACTGTCGGTACCGGTGATAAGTAAGAATCGATAAATGGTGAACACTTATCCTCTTTGAACGTAGGCTGACGAAAATACAGAATCTCGACACTTTCTCACTCATCTCACACATGTCGGCTCACTTTCAGAGGGCTGACCCATATTCACGTGTGTGCCTTCACACATGCACTCTCACACAGCACCCAGTGTCGAAATACACCAGGAGCTATGCTGGCACCCCTAACTGGGACACAATGAAGCGGGCCTCCGGACGGCCCTCGTTTCAGGAGGCTCACAATGTGCTGGAGTGCGTCCAGCACAGTTGGCTCCGAGACGCGAGAAAACCTCCAGACACATTAAACTTCTCTTACATTTTCCGTTCTGCGTTTAATTGCGTATCAAGAAGGGTCAGCCTAATTATACAGAGGGTGCAGCTGCTGAGTTTGGCATGGGCTGGCTTTCAGTACGACAAGGTCTGAAAATGTTTCAAACCAACTTAAAAGGGCATTATAATGTAAAAGTCGACTTCCTTGACCTTTACATCATGTTGTAATGTTATTCCCTCATCAAAAACATGCCAGGAGTGTCGCTTTGGTTCTCTCATGCATGTTTGAGAAATCTTTTAATCTCCATGGCAACCATTCGGCTGTCCAAAACGCCTGGTTGGACCTAGCCCCACCTTCGAGACGGACCTACAGTTTCCATGCGTCCACCTCTCCCCTTGACTCCACCCACTCAGCTCCTTCAGACTAGCCAGCAGCAATTAGCAACCACCAGGTGGAGCTGAGCATCAGCTGAGCTCATTAAACGAGCTGCTTCTCAGTGCAACGCTGGTAAAAACATTGAAGGGTTAATAGAGGCTGTGATTACTTCCTGTAGGCGGAGCTTCAGAAAGAGCAGGAGTTTCTTAAAGACACAGAGGCCCAATTTCAAGGTGTTTAATTACAAAGTCAAATTTATTTTAAGTCATATTTGATTCATACAGCATTTTTATAACAACTGAAGTTACCATAGTTACTTGATCGTGCTGTAAAATGACACTATATACCTGGAAAACACATAATACTGCCGTTTAAGAATGTCTGTCAGACCGTTCCTACTGTTTAAACTCTTTTTAGTCAGATGTCAGAAATGCCAACATAGTTTTCTCCAGATGTTCAAACTGGTTCACCTGGCCAATCGACACACAAATTCTATTTCATGTAAAGATGCATTATTATAAAAAAATTGTTGCAATTTAATCAATGAAAAGCAGAAAAATGCCAAATATTTGGCCTAATAAGCACAAGAGAACAACAAAGATTGATAAGAATTTTATCAAACAAATGATTTAAACTTAAAGATACCATCATAACAGATAAAATATGTACAGTATTATTTTACTAGAACTTTGTGGACCTTCTTTATGAAAATGATTAGCTGTACTCGACTGCTTCAATCTGTACAAAGAGCGACTTTCAGACGACATTTAATCGCCACTTGTAGACACCCAATAATACTGAAGTTGGAGCTGGAATAAAGCAGCGTTTCAAAAGCAGAAACCCTGGAGAGTTTGGGCAAAGTCTTATAAAAGCCAAGCGCCATCATAAAGCCGAGGATCCCCATGGCGGAGCTAAATCACAGGTTGCATTAAAGCTCGGCCTTATCTCTCCTTGTCTGAATCTACTTTACATTTAAGTCGCAAAGCCAATCAGAGACCAGTTCCTTAGAAAAGCCAGATTTATTTTCTCCTACATGCTAATCAGACGGATAAAAGCTTAAAACATGATAACTGATTGTCCTGGAAACGTCGTCGTTGCACCCGTAAGGCACTGTGCTTTACAGAAATACAGCAGTGAATTCAGAAATGGAGACCAAAAATAAAGAGACCTAAAGTGTGTTGAAAAAACGCCGCCTGGCTTTGAGTCTCTTCCGCTTTATGTATCCGTTCCCTACAGGGTTAAAGGGAAAGCAGCTCAAACCGTTTTCCTGTGTGAAGCACTGATTGATGTGAGCACAGTCAACAAAAACCTCTAATCTTTGAAACCTCAGAGGACTTTCTGTGACATTCTCTGGCTTTTTTTTTCTTTAAAGAAAAGCAATAACAATGGAAAATTAAAATACACATCTGAAGATGATTGGAAATATATTAAAAAAACAAACTAATTATCTGAACACAGTTGTCCATCCTTAAAGGTCTACACATGGGTAGCTGCCAGTAGACATGACAGGCTGACATTTGTTGATTAGCTGCTGAATGGAGCAACAGCGTGAATGCAGATTCGTTAAAGGGGTAGCACACGGACAAGAGCAGTCAGCTTGATTTACGTCTAAAGAATCTGCATTTTCATTGACAGGGGAGTTCAGCTATAAGTACAGAAAAACTAGAAGACACTTTTTCAGCTCTAAGCCTTAAAAACAAGAGTTTCACTCATCAATCTGGCTTCAACTGAGTCAACTTTAGTCTCTTTGTCATTTCGTTGCATGTTGTCTGCTTGAAGAACCCTACAGTCACTCTACATATCGAGTCTACAAATTATTATTTTACTGTCATTTGAAGACAAGAGTAGTAGCAAAATAAGGCTTTTACATCCCCATCGTCCACATTTAAAACTGTAGGATACTTAGTTTTGTCATCAAATATATTTTTCTGGACATGTTGAAAAATTCCACCACCCCCATAAGCGCCACAGCTCTTATTCAAAATGGCAGCATGTTTGACACAATAGAAAACAGTGTGACAGCAGCTTTACACCTCTTAGCAAAACCTTTAGTTTTTGACCAATGTGATATTTCTGAGTTTTCAGGTGTTTTGCTTGACAAACAGAAACAGAGCTATTTTTGTTCCTCTGCCGGATGACATGTTGTCTTGGATCAGATATTTTCTCTGAATCTTTCACCAGAGATTGACGGCTTTAAGGCTCCTGACTTCAAACAGTCATGACGTCCTTTCAGAGCCGAGCTCTGTTTAGTTTTAGCTAAATGGATCAAAATCAATTTGATGAAACGTCAACTTTCTTGGAGGCAGCAATTTCGATCACACTGGAAAAAACTAAATGTAGAAGGATTCAATGTTGTTGCTTTAAAAGTTGATGCAGATTTTCCAGTATTTTTAGTCAACCTGAATATTGTCTGTATGTCTTCTGCTGTATATCTTCGCTACTTTCTGCTATTGACCTCCTTCAACTTCTTTTAAATCTGATTATTACATTATTAGACGAGTAGAAGCTAGCTTATGCATGCAGCGGTTAGCATGGAGCAGAGAAACAGCATTGCATGGTTCATTATTGTTCTGATTTTTGCATTTTTCTTTGCAACAAGACCATTAAAATGATCTTCTTAGTGACTTTAAACACCTTTTTCTGTTGATGTTAGCAGATTTATCCCTACAATAGATTTGCAGCCAACTTGTCAATATGCTCTTCTTCCAATTTCTTCCTCCATCAAGCTGTACTTCTGCGGTGTCTTCATGCGCCCAGCTACAAGCTGTCCCCTAACGAGGACAGTGTTATCAGCGTTAAAACAGATAACGTGTGGGCTTCATCCTTTCCCGCTCGCGTCAAGGTCGTTGAGAATTTGTGATCAGTTAAAATATGTCGCATATCTGATGCGTTCGCGCACTACTAAACCGCTAATCACATCAGTGAAGCCTTCCTGCGCGATGGAATTGCGGGGAGCGCTAAGCCGAGCGGCATCTATGAATAAAAACGGCGCGGGAAGCGGCGAGCTGCGCTCACCGTCGCCAAAAAGCTGCAGGATGGCCAGGTCCACGTGTCTCTTCCACCCAGACTCCTTCTGGATGGCGATGCCGTATCCCGTGGTGGCGAAGATGTAGCCGCTGCCAATAGTCACCAGCTTGCAGCCCTCGTCTCTGCCAGCCATGTAGTTCAGGACGGCGGCGTCATAAATGAAGGCATCCAGTTTGCTGAGGGAAAGAGGGGAAAGAGACGGAGAGAACGGCAGGGAGAGAGACAGATAGGTTGCAATTAATTAGCACTTAGAAGTCAGACGGCTGCAGCTACAACACTCCAATTAACCTGCTAAATAGCACTAAGCCGCCGATAAGAGTAATAGACTTTCACTTGCTTTTGCCAGTGGCTGAGGCTGGCATGCAGGCTGGCAAAAACGAACACACGGTGAAAACTGGAGAGGTGGGAGTGAAGGTATTATTAAGGTCATATTCCAGTCCTATTCATGTTTAAACACAGTAACAAAGGAAAGGATTTTTTTGTCATTTCTACTGTTTGGCAATGAGCTTCTTGTTTCTTTCGCAAGAGCAAGTTGAGAGTTCACAAAAAAAAACGAAGACATGTTAATTCAGGCGAGGTGTTGAAAAAAGATCTTTTAAAAACGCATCAAATGCTGGTTTTCAACGCCATTCGGTAATTAATATTTCCATTGGATCGTTACACTGCAAGTACAGCCTGCCCTCATCTAGTTCACTTTTCTTCTGTCCTGTATATTCTTATATTTTACTGTGGTAAAAAAAATGCTGCTCTCTCTCTAAAATGCTTTTTTTTTTTAAAGATCCAGATTGGTGTAAGAGTGCCGTAATTTATCAAAACGTTTTCTTCCATCTCTTCTGGAACTACATACTAATATCTGGACCCTTTGACCCTGGATTAAATTCCTGTAACATCCAAGTAAAAATAAGCAGGTATAGACACAAATGTATCAACAGCTTTGATGACAAAAAGTCTTTAGCTTCAAAAATCTTTGTCACACTTGTGTTTCGATGGAGCGTAAAATCATTTAAATAGCGCTCCAGAATCAATGTATTTTGCGGCAATGACCCATAATCATACATAATCTCATAATATGCAGATGTTCAACTGATGTCAAGCATTTGACATCAGCATGTCAAATGCTTGAAGTGGCTCCAACAGCACGGCAGTCCGACTTACTTCCTCTTCAACATAATTCATCTAATAATCGCTTTACCGCTCCAGAGCAGTCATAGACTTTGTGTAAGGTGTTAAACTTTCAACTTTATGTTTCACTAAAATATATATATATATATATATATATATATATATATATATATATATATATATATATATATATATATAATTTTTTTTTTAGAAATATGGGTTTTGAACACAGCTAGATACACCAAAATATGTGGGAAGTTAAGAAACAGCATGGCGACAACCTCAAACTTTCACAAGGACAGTTCCCTCCAGGAAATTATTCAGCAACTTTCCCTCTAAAAAAAAAAGAAAGATTTATCAAAAGTCTCTCAGCTTACGCAATTCAATTGAACTTCAAATGAATATTGAACAAAAACTTTTGGGAGAACCGGACTGATCTCTGCCAGAACAGAGCTTTTTAATCTGGTTGTAAACATGTGTAAACCATGTCGAGATCTTTACCCGGCCTTCAGACTCTGCAGAGCTTCGTTGACGTTCCTCTGATGGAACGCGGTCATGTAGGTGTGCATCTCTGGATAGTTGTTCCTGATGTTTCTCTCCGTGCTCCCGTTCGGCACCGTGCCAAACCGGAATGGAGGAGAGAAGTCATTGGGACTCTGGAACTAATTACAGGAAAAGAAATGGAAAAAATCTTCACAGCTTTTTTTTTTAAGGTGATACAACAGGACCGCTCTAGGTTAGAAACATTCAGCCTTACCTTCTTGTCAGAGAGACCCGTGACTTGATCCACATATTCTTCTTGGATCATGAAAGCAGCCAGGTTGGCAGTGTACGAGGCCAGGAAAATGACAGCGAAGAAGGCCCACACTGACACCATGATTTTACTGGTGGTGCCTTTGGGGTTCTGGACCGGCACAGAGTTGTTGAAGACGAGACCCCAAAGCAGCCAGATGGCCTTACCGATGGTGAAAGACGGGCCGTGAGGCTCTGAAAGAAACAGGCCAGGTGTGTTAAAAAAAATGAAACATTTTGATAACTTTCTGAACCAGTGACTTACAAAATAATTTACAGTCATTTTCGTTTTCATTTTGCTATGTTACAATTTAAAAATGAATGTTTTTTTGGGGAGTAGAGGGGAATTAAAATGATCGATCAACAAGGACACACTAGACTGTGGGACATTTTATTTTTATATCTGTTGTAACTCACATTATGCAGCAAAGTCTTTACTATGATTCACATAAATAAACTCCAGTACAAACATTTGCATTCAGAAAGTTTTAAAAAGACTCCACCTGAATGATCGAAGATTAAAAGTGATATTTGTGGAAGGAAACCGTACGATTTTGATCACCTTCCAGCAGAATGACGAGCAGAGAGCGACAGCAAAAGATTTAAATCCATGCCAATTCATGAGTTAGAATGGCCTAGCTAAAGTTCAGACCGTAATCTAAATGAAAATGTGTCGAAACCTGAAAACTATAGTTGGGGTTACAGGTGGACTTTTAAAGTATTGTTTGTCGGGCTAAATTTTTTATCGTGATAAGATTGTGATTTATACCTGACGCAATAAAATCCAATTAATCATGTTTAAAAAAACATGATTGTACATCGATAAATATCAATAAATTTAAAAATATGATTAAATCCAGTAATTTTGAGTATTTTAGTGATACAAAACACACTTCTTTATGTGACTGGTGTCCTAAAGAAGCGCATTACAAGTGGGAATGTTTCTAAGAGCAATATTTGTGTCACAACCAAACAATTATCTTAAAAAATAAAACGTTTTTATTGTCACTTATCATTATCACAACATACTACCACAAAATATGGTGATAGAACTTTTAAGTCCATATCGCCGACCTCTAGTTCAGGTTCCTCCAGTTTGATTTTGTGAAGAACGGTCAAAATGTGGAAAACTGACTTGAGAAGACTGGCACCTGCACTTTTTAGTATTTATTTGAAAACAAAAACAAAACCGCGTGTTACTTCGCTTCCACTTCAGACTTTGTGTTTTGTCACATAAAATCCAATAAATCCATCAGACTTTGTAGCTGCACAATGACAAACAGGGAAAAGACGCTTTGTCATCGCTTCACTTCATTCATACAAGTAACTTAGACACAAATCACACCTCAGTGAAATTGTTCAGTTTGTCTGTGAGCTGCTGTTATGCTGCAATAAGCGATCGCGACGTTTTTTTTTTTATTTTTTATTTTGTTTTCTTAATGTTTGTGTGGGAGTGTGTGAGCAGGAAAGAGTGAGTGTGCGAGTGTGTGGGGGTGTGTATTTTGTTGCAAAGTGTTTTTCTGTTTTTTTATGTTCTTGGACAAACTGACTTCATGTGGTGCCAAACGTTCCTCTGTTAAGTCTGCCAGCCGGAGAGCTGCCTGAACGCAGCCAGCAAAGTCTTTACAACTCGCCGATGGACTCATTGATACATTATTGCGTCAGGTGCTTTGACAGCAAACTTCGATCTGCACCCTTCATGACACCAAACTCCCACGACGCAACAACAACAACAAAACAAACACCAGGAGTCCTACGAAAGAGAACAGAGCTGTGGGGAGAAGTTCATCTTCTCCACCAGATGATGAAGGATGAGAGGGATAAAAAAAAGATAACCACTGTCTATATATAGACACATCAGAGATAGACTAGAGGGAGATTGATTTTCCTCTTCTTTTTTTTTTTGTCTCTCATCTGTACAGATGGTAAGATCTAAGACGAAACTAGCCTCATGGTGTCATGTTCTGTTTTTTTGGGAGGAAATATGGAAATTTATGCAAATGGCCGGTCCAGTGTGAGGGGAAGCAGCGGCAGAGTTCTGCTGAAACCTGTGTTTAGATCCAGCTCCATATGATGAAAAGAGAGCAGAGAGGTGAGGAGGAGGAGGAGGAGGAGGAAGAGGAGTACGAGGAGATAGGAATAAAGGCATTGGGTCAGTGAGAACGGCTGGTTTGCGTGCGGGGGCAGTGTGTTTCTGTGCCTGTCAGTCTTTGTGCGAGGCTAACACACACACACACACACACGCACACACCCACACACACACACGCACACACACTCCCACACACACACACAGTTTGCGTTTGTGTTGTTGCAGAGAAGAGGAACATCGTCTCCGAAGCATCTGTACTATCGCTGGGAGAAAATGGCTAGTTGGAGCATTACTCATGTAAGCCTCTTTGTTTAATGGACCAACGTACCGACTGTCATTTTCTCTACATTCACTCCAAATTTCTGTTTTTTTTTTTTGTTTTTGTTTTTTTAACTATTTTCATCTCGAATTAAATGTTAGCATGTTTGTTTGTTTTTTAGGAAACTTGCAAAAACTCAGAAAGGACTGGGAAACCAAACAGTCAATCTCTGCAGAGGCCTAAAATCTGCATTCTCTAAGTTCACACTTCTGATTCAGTTACAGCTGCAGGTCATTTGAGGTACGTCTCTGCCAGTCTTATACATCTAGATAATACTTTATCCTCTTTTCTTCTTCATGCTCAGTCTGAGTGAACAGGGAACGTCAATTTTAACGTATTATCACAGATTTCTCAATTGGATTACGTCTAGACCAGAGGTCTGTACGCTCCACCATCCAAAGAGACTATTTTTACCTTCTCTCCTGCTAAATACATTTTGCCTGGAGCCACAAAGTCTATACAACCCTTTTGAATGAGGCAAGCTTATTAAGTTTTTAAAATACCAATTACTAGGGCTGAATAGCATTCTCAAAACTGATATGTGTTAATTCAGGAGAATATAATGAAAACGATGTGATGGAAGTAACAGTGTTAATGTCTTTCTAGTAATCAGGGGTGAAGGGGAATTTATCTAAAATAAATAGCAAGGAAGAGGAAAAGAGGGAAGTAGGTCAGTTACGCTAACTTGACTTTGACAACTGTAACATGCAGATGTGCTGCAGAATTTGGCATGTTTTGTTTCAGTAAAAAAAAAAAAAAACTGGCCTTCACACCAACTCTAACAGATCATCAGTAGAGCAGATGTTTCAATTAGCTAATCAACCACTGGTGTGGTAGCTATTAGCTATTAGCAGCGGTAGCGATCACTTCTTAATAATTGCAACATAAACATCAATGTTCTGCTCGTTGTGTGGGAAATGTTTGCGTTTTTTGGTGTTGGATCCTGATGCTTTAGTGGCGTTGTCAGTTGCTATGGTAGCGAGTCTGTGCGTTGCGTAGCAAACACAGAGAGCGAGAATGTGAGTGGTTGTTGTTCTGTTATTTTCCCCTTTGCTGTACTGCACTACATGAATAACACCTACATCTCCAGGTTTAATTTAGTTGACAAACTTGTTCTAACGCGACAATGCGGCTACGGATGGGAGGTAAAAGAATCGTCTTTTTGCCCTCCTGCGCTGTGTGTGTGTGTGCAAAATGTCCGGATGTAAACAAAAACAAGCAACGTGTCTGTAGAAATCATTTGGCCATGTGTAATTCCATTTAGTTTGCATTATTCAATGTTATTTGAAATATCTATATGCATTTTTTTTTCTCCTGTTAGGTTAGTGCTCTTGGGGACCCCCTGGTGGTGTGGAGGCCCTAAGCAGCCGCTTAACTTGCATATATGCCTTGGGCCGGCTATGGTTAAGTGTGTGCGTGTGTGTGTGTGTGTGTGTGTGTGTGTGTGGTGAGTTGGGAACTCTCACCTCTGCCATCAGCCAGACAGCGGTTGTAGCCCACAGGGCTGATGTACTCGAACACGAACACAGCCACCGCTGACACCAGCAGCAGCATCACGAACATCATCACCCACACATCTGCACTAAAGGGCTCTGAAAGGGTGCAGAGGACGAGGAAGACGAACGAGGAAGACGAGGGATTGATAAAAGAAGGAAGCACGGTTGGAAAGAGATGCAGCAGAAAGAATATTTCAGAAAGGAGTCGTAAGGAGGCGGGAGGTGGTGAAGAAAGGAGGAACATGAGGAGGGAGGAAGAGTTTCCCTTGAGCAAGGGCAGCAGAGAGAAAGAGAAAATGAAGCAAGAGAGACAGAGATATGCAAATGCAGGATGTCATATTGAAAAGAGGAAGGGAGCGTCAGAGAAATTGAGTAGGAGTGGGAAACATAAGAGGGCAAAGAGAAAGAGAAAAAAATAAGCAGTTAGCTGAATTATCATGCAGCTCAGAACACCTTGTCAGGGAAAGTTTACTGAAACTTATTTTAATGCATTTCCACCTGCTAAATCACTTTTAATTCCTTCAATTCATGAAGGAGGAGAAGTAAACAAAAACACTTAGATCTAACTAAAACAGCTGCTAAACTCACTCAAGAGGACAACGTCTAATTAAAAGAGCCTTTTGTTCTGAATGAACCAAAGAGGGGTCCGAAGACTTTCACAGAAATAACAGAACCAAACGAGCCAGATGGGCCACTCAGAACCAAACATGGAGGAAACGCATTCAGCTTCTACCCACCACAAATCTGGAACAAACTTCCAGAAAACTGCAAAGCAGCTGAAACACTGAGTTCCTTTAAAACCGGGCTAAAGGTCCACCTGTGTAGAGCGGCACTTGAACCGTAATAAATGAAAAATTGACCAGCATATTGGATGAGTATTGATGATTTTGAAGATGGCATTTGACAAAATTAAATTTTTGCTTCTGGTTTCTTAAACTGGTGACTGTATCATGTTTTTATGACTTTTTATTTTGACATTTTTTGATGTACAGGACTTTGTACTTCCTTGTTGCTGAAATGTACCATACAAATAAACTTCATTGATTGATTGATTGATTGACAGTGACCTAGTTCATGCCTGAGTTGTGGGTTTATTACAATGTAATATAACATATGAGGGAAAAATCAAATTGCAACATCAATGTGTGAAACATAATCATGGCAATCGCATCCTTGAACGTAATACTTGGTATGTTATATTTATATGCATTCATGTCAGTAATATATCTGGCCAGTTATATTGACTCTCACAGAGACATTATGATGATGCAAAAGAATAAAAGGAACGAGAAAAACTTTGGTAATTTGCAACACACATTGTCATTTTAGTATTTAATAACATAATGATTTTAACTTCTCCTATAATGGTGTAGCAAGAGCAGATAAGCGTCATGATTATCTTATCTTTAAAAGAGACTTTTCCAAATTTCCAACAATCAGAACACGGCTGAATTATGGCGAATTTGGTAAGTTCATAGACTGTAAAGAGGGTAATATGGATATAAACTATCAAACGTAAGTGTTAACTATTAGATAATGTAGAGAAGCAAAGATCTGCTGTGTATTCATCAGCTACCACACCTCACTAAGTGACTGAATACATTTTTAATATTATTTCCAGGAAGCCAGGTAGGATAGTCAAATGAATCTCATCTAACTTAAACAAAGCATCTAAAATTGCTGCCCAGCAAGTACAAAGTCCTGCCAGTTGCATTCTGGGATAAAGAAAGTTGCTGTTATATTTACTTTTGCACATCGGTAACAACCTTTCCATATCCTGCATCTATTTTGAGCATCGGTTGCACATCCTGGTTGTCGATGGCCAGTGCACTGCGTGTTTCTGATGTGTCCATCAACCAATCGAGCCTTTTCAAATGGTGTAATTACTTCCTCAGCATGTCATCGAGCTCTGCATACGCCTGGTAATGAACCACTTATTTGATTCAGGTGGATTGAGCCAGGAAAACACGAAACAATCAGGACACCAGGCCTGGAGGGTCGACACCGGAGACCCCTGCTCTAGATTTACGCGATGACTGGAGGGGTTTTATTCGTCTTTTAAAGATGGCGGCTGATCATTGCTACTCACCTAGAAATGCGGAGGGTGAAACGGTGCCGTTACTGCGGGAGACCATGACGCTAATTCCGGTTTCGATGAAGGGAACAGAAAAATCTATGACCTCTGACCTCTCCTCGTTGATGGTTAGGGATCCGACGGCCATGTGGGCATTTTTTAGCACAACCTGGGAAAGAGAAAGAAAACGTCCGTTGCTTAAGCAAACAGTGGAAATGAATCCACTACCAGAGCAGTATTAAGTCAAGAAAGTGCAGTAAATAAAAGAAAAATAAATTCTGCAGGGACTCTTAAGAGTCCCTGACGGGAAGTGATCTTCACGTGTTAGACTGGCCTAGTCAAAGTCTCAACTGGAGTCTGATCAACAATCTGTTGAACAAAATATTAGGGAAACCTTCTAACCTCAAAGAGTTGGAGCTTGTTGCCAGAGATAAACTGTCAAAACACCAATGGACTGCTGTAATACCAGTAAGATTTTTCAATTGATTATTGACAAATGGTGTAAGTAATTTTTCGTCATGCCATGAAAACGCAAAATGTAATAAAAACTGATTTTTTTTAGAGCTCTATTGCAATTAACCCTACTGTGTTTACAGAGTCTTTATAAACATGATTTGTGAAACCTTAATTATATTTGTAGAAACACAAAGTGGGGATTTTTCTTTTTTCAAACAGCTGTGCTAAAAGTCTCATGAATTCAGGGTTGTGTGTTGTGTTGTGTCGTGTGGTTAGCTGATTGTATAGTTTCACCACTACTAATTAATTATCCAAGAAAGGCAAACGCAAGGCTGGAGATGTTACTGTTTGAATGTTTGTGCACTCAAAAGCCAGTCGGTTGATGTCGCTCGTCAAAGATAGACGAGCCTGGTTACCTTTGCCTTTTTTTCCCCTTTGCGTGTCTCTTTGTACAATGACTTGTGTTAGGATGTTCTAGCATCATGGCTTTATGGTGGGACGAAGCTACAGTTACAGTCTTTGAAAGCAGATGGTCGGCATATTTGAGGCCCGAGCCCAGCAGGACTTCACAAACACAATCTCTTGCCATTAACACACATTGGACGGGTTCATCTGAACAGACTGGGGAACTTCAACCTATGGTAGTTCTTCCAGTTAACCAAACTGATACATTTTCATCACCATTGATGGGGAAATCAATGCCTGTCGTTTATTTTATGTGTGACACTTTACATCCATTCTGAGGAGTTTGTTTCCACAATGCCGGCTTGATTTTTCAAAGTTTGTGTGAGTAGGACATCACCGACTTGTTTGCGTTGCCTCATAAATCATCAGAGAGGAGCTTCTCTTTGCTGTTTTATGATGAAACCATGTTGTAAATGTGGTTGCAGATCGTTTTCTTTCCCCCCCAACATGAACTTGCATTAGGCCAATAGGTGATGAAATCACTGTGTTAGATGTCATAACCTGTTGAAATGAAGACTATAGTAAGTAACGGCATACTTCAGCAGGGGAAAAAAGTTATTAATACACGGAAAGTGAGGCCTAAAACTGGAGACGCTGGAGACAAAGATGCAGCATGGCGTGTAGCGACAGGAGGCAAAACTACTTTCCTCGCAGCGCTCCGGAGTGGACACTCGTGATGCTCACCAGGCCACAGAAAGAGGGAGAAAGACAGAAGGAGAGAGAAGAAAGTGGGTTACCACAGTGGGTCATGGCTGCTGGAAATAGCCGGTTCAGTGCCTCTCGCTACCTGCCTAACTCCCTTCAGTTCTCCTGCACAGGTGGTATATTTAGACCCAAATTTCATAGCCTTAAAGCATTTGGGTAAAGTGGGACGAGATTGTCTCCCTGAGTTAATAAGGTGTGTGTGTGAGACTGTGTGAGTCAAAGCTCTGCTGTGCGCTTCAACGCCGTGCATTTCCGTGTGAGTCATAAAGGGAAAAAGAGAAAGAGACGTGAGCGAAGCTTTGTTCGTCTACCTGTGAAGTGGACCTTTTCAGGCAGGGGAAAATGTGACAAGTCTGCCTTGCAGATTATCTGCCATTCCGCTGTTTGTGTGCGTTTGTAAGTTTTCAGTCATATTTATTCAGAGAGTATGCAAGTACGGATCTAAATGCGCATCGGAACCTGCGCGCGTGCGCCTGTATGCGCAAATATCTCCCTGGGGAGGCGAACGAGTGGATCCAGCAGTGTGCTCACTTCCCCTCTCACCATTCGCTCTCTCCATCTCCCTCCTACGACTTGTTCTCTCCGTGTTATGAAAGTGACCCATGTGGGTGTTATTGAGAATGATTGAGCGAGGATCTGCGTGCGTTTGTGTGTCTCAGTTTGTGTGCGCGTGTTGACCAGTGTCTTCTGCGACTCTCAGCGAGGCGAAATTCAAAGTGTATTGTCTCTAATATTATGGGTTTGGAGCACGAGTCGGTGCAGCTCATGAAAACAGATTCTGGCCACAACAAAGTCAGGAAAAGGTGTGGGGCCTCTCAAAGCATTTGATGATTTTCTCTTTTTTTTTTTTATTTGTTTCTCATCTTTTGAAATCTGACGAGAGGTAAAAGCATCGAGAGATCTGCTCAGCATCTCTGTCAGTCTGTAATTCAGCCCATTGACAGTTTGACACATCCTCTTGTTTTGGGAGCGTTGGAAGAGAAGGTAGACAGAAATATGTTGTCAACAACACCATAAAACATATTTATTAATAACAGATCTGAAAGTCTCTACCCAGAGATTCAGAGATTCTTAGAAAGCATGTCATGAAGGAATTTATTGTCGAATTTCCCTAAACTGTAATGTGTCAAAATTAGACAATAAAGATAAAGTATATTATAATAATATTCCACAAATGTTTCTTAGCAATATGAAGAAAAAAAACACAAACACTACATCATTTTTGTAGGCATTAACAAGAATGTGGGAACGCTCTGGCTGGATACGACTCCACTTTTCTTGGCAGTTTATATGAAAAGGTTTAAGATCTGGACCATTTCAGAATCACGATCTAAAGCAGCTTTATTCGTTCCAAAACCTGCTTTGTTTTTCAGCCATCAGACTCAAACTGTCTAAAGCCTTGGCTCAGTCCACCTTTATTTTAATCATAATCGCTATGTGGCTGCAGGTTCTGGGTTGTTTTGGTCCATTTTAGTTGCAAGGTGAGTATATAATTGCTTTACTTTTGTACACGGATGGTCCACATATGTACTGAATTAAAAGAACATGGCATCTATGTGACGTGTCTGTAAATGAAAGGACTGAACCAAAAAAATTTGGTACAGCCTTTTCTGTGGTATATATTGTAACACGTATGTAGCTAGCTACATCTATAGCTACATAGCTAGTTAGATAGTTATCTACATACACAGCTACTCAGCTAGCTACATAGCTAGCTTATTGAAATGGTAACTAGCTAGGTACACTAATAGGTAGATAAATAGATAACAGAGAGAGAGAAATTCCTCTTGAGTCTTCTTTAATCTTTTATAAATGTTTTTGTTTGTGTGCGTGTATGTGTCCGTGAGTTAGAGAGGTTCTTGAACGCAGCTCTTTGTCTTCCTAATGACCGCTCCTCTGTGGGACAGGACGCATTACCTTTTAGTCTGGCTGACAGGGTTTATTTCAGGTGACCACATTTACAGCTCGGTACCCACTAAAGACGCTGGCAGGATGACAATAATGGCTCTACGTGAGACATTAAATGGGTTGGTTTTAATGCAAATTGAATAGAAATAGTCCTAATCGGGTGGGGGTAGACGCATGATGTCCGTGACTTGTGAAGGTCTTTCGTGTAAACGTTCAGACATTGAGCCACTCAGCATGTTTCCAACGGATGACCTTTAGGGTACAATCGATTGGCTTACCGCTTCCCTCATTAACAAAACGCCAAGATCAGTCAACAGAAACACAGCTGGCACCTCCAGACTTACAGACAGTAACCTTGACATGGAACCAATGGTTATTAGAAATGTTGTCAACACAAAAGCGATTGGTTTTGGCAGACTGAAAACAAGATGATGAAAAACACGTCACAGGTAGTTTGGCAAGGGCCAAGGTTTTTGATCTAAAAACCCCAAAATCTGAATGGAACTATGAACGTAGCTATAACATTTTAAATAAGAAATAGACTCTGTTCAGGTAGTTAATGAAGTAGCTTATTTTCCTCTTTAATTCCTAAAGAGTAAGTGAAGTTAATCCAGTACTGTCAAGTAGTGGAGACTGAAACATTTTTAAAGACAGAAAGGTCACTTTAACACTTGCCAGCAGAATAAAAGTACAATTCTTCTATACGTTCTCCACCTGACAAGTGACATTTAAAGACCTTTTTTTAAATACTTGGCAGGAATAAACTTTGAATTGGACTGGAAAATGATTCACATACTGGGCATAGAGGTTTGGTATTAGGTCAATTACAGATCAAAATATATAGAGATTAATTTAGTCTTGACAGAAACCCAACCAAACATAGAGCAATAGCTTAAATATAAATTTAAAGGAGAGTTGCAGAAATGCATTAAATCAAGGGCACTAATGGAAAACAGCTAAAGTTTGGACTCAAATGACGACTACATTCCCCCCCCCACTTTGTATCATTTGTTGTTTTTGCAATTATTTACTGACTAAAATTGACTTCAGATCTCTGTGTACCGAAGGCTGTTTGGTAATGGAGCATTTTCCGTGCTGACCTCAAACATTTCATAGCTCTCCTCCTGTCTTCACTTGACACAGAGCCAAACACAGCACAGCAGCACAAACTCTGACCGCACAGGTTCTCACAACGCCATAAAACCTCAGTAACGTTATTAACAGTGTCACAAACTGTGAATTAGGTGCAATCTTCATTCACAAGTTTCGCACGACAAATGATAAATGACATGGCGGTACGGTTTCCAGGGATACGACAGACTTGAATTTGTTGACCTGTGAAATCAGTTGGATCTGTGCTGTTTAAACACTGGAAGTGGAAAGCCAGAGCAACAACAAGCAGAGTAAACAGAAATAAGCGACGGGGAGGGGGGTCATAAAACTTATAGACTGTTCCCCTCACCTCTCCCACCATGCCGTTCCAGGTCCCGTTGATCTTTTTGCCATGCTTCCCGTTCGTGACCAGGTACAGGTCGTACGTAAACTTGACCGACTTGGCGATCTTCTTCAGGATGTCGATGCAGAAGCCCTTACAGCAACGCTTGATGTAGATCCCCGCCTCCTTGGTCTGATTGCTGCATAAACAGAGAGATAAACAGTGTTTAATCCCAAAACATGCATCTGTCTGAATTGGTGATTTCACTCATGAATGCTGTTTTGCGTTTCTGGCTTTGTCGTTCTCTCACTGTCGAAGTGTGAAATTATTCTACCTCCGGTGCTGTAAAGCAACCGGGAGAAACCTCTATAATTGACTCGGCTGCCAGTTTTTGTGTTTTTTGTTATTTGTTGTGGATGCCGCTTTTGCTACGGTCAGTTTCAGCTACTGTGACAGATGGGCTGAAGAAGAAGAAGGAAAAAAAAAACAAAAAAAAAAAAAATGCAACAATCCATAGCAACATGTGTGAAGATAAATACGTCACGCTTTGTTAATCTCGACTCTGTTAAACATGATTTGGTCCATGTTGGATCACAGACTCACAGCGTTTTGATCTGCTTTCTGCAGGGGACGGTATTCCTCATGCAGGTCCCACTCAGCGGGTCCACGTCTTCCACGATGACGAACGGGGCCTCTTCCAGCGTCACGATGGACAGATGGTCGTCCTCCCTGGTCGCCGCCCCTCCGTAGAGCTCGTAGCGAGGCCACACGTGGTACTTCATGGACAAGGAGCCGTTCTCCCATTTACCCACCTGCAGAGACGTGCAAAAAACAAACTCAACAGTGTTTCACCTTCAAGACATCTGTTTTTCTCACATGGAGTGCCATCCACAGGCATTCATGCGCCTTAAAGGGGAAGTATTATGTATACTCCAGGCACATTGTGCTATTTTGTAGCACATTTAACTGACTACGATACTTTCAGTTATTATAAAATTACTACATACATCAAACATAGCTTAAAAAAATTTTTTGACTTTGCAATTTAGCACTTTGAAACTGTCTCTTTAAGAAGCTCCTGCTTTATCTGAACCGCCGCCTTCAGGAAGTCCTATCAGCAACTTTCCTCTATTAACCCTTTAACAAAGTGTTTACCACCGTTTCACTGAGAAGTAGCTCATATGATGACCTCAGTAGACTCTGAGAAAAGGCAGTGTTTGGTTACATCGTTCTTTTTCTGTGCCCAGAATGGTTGCCACGGGAGATTAAAGGATTTCTCAAACATGCATGAACAATTTGTCACTTTTTAGGTGATATTTGAGTGGCTAATAAGAGTACTGGAGTGTGCTTAATGCTGTTAAAGTAAAAGAAATGAAAACAAATACAAGAAAAGGCTTTTAAAAGATTTAATTTAGTCAAAAACCCATGCATTGTTTTCAGTTACGCTCTGCTTTATGTTGTTCCTGTAACGATTGTGGCTCTGCTCAGATGAAATGAAACATTTATTCTTTTATTATTGTTGTTTTATTTTTTTCTTTAGTGTTTTTTTCCCCCCACCGGCTCCGCTGTGGACGATTGTCCTTATAAGCATTCAACGCCTCACCTGGCAGGAATCAAAGTTAAAAATGAAATCAGATCGCATTTCACACTACAGTAGCTTCAGTCCATAAAAAAATAACGGCTGCTCTGGAGCTACAAACAGTTCTGAGGCATATCATCAAAGAGGAATATGGAGTATGTATGCCTTACAGCAAAAACATCTTCACCCAGTTGGGATTTTAAAGCCTCATGTTGAGCGTCCTGCATTTTATTGCAGGTGGGCCATCTGCCCGTGTAATACACAGGTTATATTGGGTGAAAAGAATCTAAAGAATGATACTTCATCCTTACTGAAAGTTGGCAAAAAGAGACGAGAAAACACAACTTTTTTCGGTTTCTTAACCCGGCAGCTTAGACAAACAATGTGGTGCATCTGGTTGCCTCGCAGTGTCGGGTCAGATTCTCCTGCTGAATAATTGACACGATTGACCAAATGGAACAATGGACCGTATCTGATTCAAGCGGGCGAAGTGAAGAGGCCAAATCAATGAAAAGGAGACAAAGATGGCGGGTTAAGCCGGGGAAATAATAACCGGATCATCACAACGGTGAGAAACGGAACAAAAGGAAGGAAGAAAACGAAGATAATGAAAAGTAAAAAAAATATATATATAAGTAACTCAAAGACAATGAAGTAAATGTGTCCACAGAACCCAAAGGCATTCAAGTTGCAAATGCAATTCTGAAAATTATTGTGCGGAAGCGCGGGTGCATGTCAAAAATTAGAATATCATCAAAAAGTTAATTCTGTTCAGTCATTCGATTAAAGAAGTGAAACTCGTATTTTGCAAAGATTCATTACACACCCATTAACTTACACAATAACCCACAAAGGAAAGATTTTAATGCAAAAATGCCTGCATTAAAATCTGAGTGCAACATGTCTAGTATAAGTCGCTTTAACAGTGACCTTCAGGTAATCAGCACTATTGGGTTTGGTGTCTCTCATCTCGGTCCTGACAGGACTTGATGGATTCTGTGTGGGGTTCGGGTCCGACCATTTTGTTAACCCATCAGTCACGGTGATGGCGTGGCCATTAAAGCAGGCGTTGGTGTCTTTGTGGGTATGGGCAGATGCCAAGTCCTGCTGGAAAATTTATTCAGCATCACCATTAAGCTTGTCAGCAGAGAGAAACACGAGTCCTTTGGATTATGGACCAAATGAATCGCAGCAAAGCAACACCAGCAGATGACAAGGCTGCTGATATCGTCACTGGGCGAGTTTACATTGATCATAAAATTATGCAAATTGAAAGTACAAAAAGAAATTTGCTTAACGGAAACGAGCCAACTTGGAAAAAACCCTCAAGTTTTACGCTAAAACGTTGTTGCGCTAGATTGTGGTGATTTTTCAGTTATTTCAAAAAAGATTTTGTAAAAATTTTGTAAAACTGCAATAAAAAATACGTTTTTTGCATCACATGAGTCACATGGTCAACAATAGGATGTTACTACTGGTGAAAACGACAAAGAAGATGACAGGAAGTAGTAGAAGGATGATCATTTGTTTCTGTTTTTTCTGACAAAGTGTAGCTGAGCACTCACAGCACTGCACAATTCATAAAAAGTTCATAAAACTCTTCTGTAAAATCATTGGCTACAATTTCCCCAAATCGCTGCAACGGTCAAATCAGACACCGACGTCCTCTCTGATTGGCTGATGGATGATAAGCGACTGAGTTATGAATAAATGTCATGTAACTGTTTACATCTGTCGCTGCCATGATTTTTAATGACTTATCATGTGAAGAAGCTTATTTGGGATTTTAGTTTCATTCCTTATTTAATGGAAACACCACAAGTGTGTTATTTCAATAAAAATACAGACAAGGATTTCAAAGGAAACAGGTATGCGCCGTGGAAACTTCACACTGGACGTCAAGCAACTTTTTCCAATGCACTTTTTACTTCCTCTCGACTCAATACCTACATTGTCATCTGAAAACTATAACAAACCAACTTTTAAATGACAAATTCATCGAGCTGCTCCTGTCATTGAGTGATTGCGCTCGCATCCAAACGTGTTGCGTAAATGCGTTGTTTAAATATGGAGAGGAGAAGAGAGGAGCAGGAGAGGGAGGGGCGGGACTGGGACTGGTGGTAGAGAATGAGTCCAAGGTTAACCAGAAGGACGAGGCTGATACAGAGGGTCAGGCAGAATTTAGATCACAACAACAACAACAAAAAAACAGGAAGATTTAAAGAAAACAAGCTATAAAGACAGATATTTTTGCTGAATCTGATGTAAAAGAGGGCGGTAAGAGAGTTAACATGGAACTCATTCAAGTGCAAAATGCTGGATCTTGAGTAGAAGAGTGTCCAGCTGTACGTCTGGAGGGCCCTCCAGCCTCTGGAGCTCTACTCCACCGAACAAGCATCACCAATTAGTCAATTTCCCCCCGATGCCACTCTGGGGAAAAAAAAAAAAAAATCCTACCTGGACGTGCCAGTCTCCTTTCATCAAGGGGAACAGAGGGGGATTGAAGTAGAAACGGATCAGACAATTCGCCACAGCTTAATTGTAAGAGCTGGGAACTGTGGTCAAGTGTGTAAAGTCCAGTTTGCACACTCATTAAATATGGAAATGTGTTCAAACACATCGCTCTCCTGGGGGGGAGGATACAACACAAATCTGGCAACACGGCCTGGAAAGGATGAGGCCGAGGCTGTGTATCCCCGGAGCACAACGCAGCTCCTTTTTTTTCTGTCTGGAGCGAAATGGTGAGAGAAACGAGAGGAGAAAGACGGGAGGGACGGGAAGCGGACGTTACCGCACCACTTTGAAGAGGCGGGGGGGTGAGAGCCGAGAAAATTTGGAAATCAAGTTGGGAATTAAACATGAGCGATAAAGTGGGGAGGTTGAGGTGGAGGAGAAAGAAGAGGAAGACCAGAGGGGAACGACTCACCTTGTTCTCTGATCAGAGGACAGAATATAGATTAGAGAGGCAGAAGACGGAGAGATGTACGGAGAATAGAAAGCAGTGGGGGAGAGAGGGAGAGAGAGAGGTGAGGGAGTCAGACGGCGCAGGATCATCTCGAACACAGATGCGTGCTGACTCGGCAGGTGGCGGCCAGCGACAGGCTCATTTTGGGTGGCTGAATTATCGATGCCATATGCACACCGCTGGCTTCTCCGCTCTGCCAAACTCCATCGCTTTTTATTCTGTTTATTATCATATCATAAAACGGATTTTTAAAGCCGGGTTTTGTTCAAAACAAGCTGAATTAGCGCGCAAAGTTTACCTGAAGTTTTTTTTCTTCCCTTTACTGCTAATAGTATCCCACTTCTTCAGTTCAAAGGCCTCCATGCTTATGAACAATAGGTGCTCTGTTTAGTCCGCTTCCTCCTGTATCTATAGCTGCTGCTGTGCTAAAGTGGGGGTAGGGGGGGGGAGGGTTATCTATAATAGCTGGAGAGGCGGGCGGTGCACTCCGGACGGACTGCCAGTCAATCACAGGGTCGACTTGAAAAGACAGGCAATTATCGGCAGGCACATCCACACCTACGGGAATTCTGAAGTCAGCAATTAAGCCTAACCTGCGAGTCTTTGTGCTGTGGGAGGAAAATGGAGTCTGCAGAGATAACCCACGCACACTCGGGGAAATTATGCACGCTTCACACAGAAGTACCACACAGCGAGCCTGCAGGTTCTAACCCCGAGGATGCAGAACATATGTTGTGGAGCTGAGGCTCAGAGTCTCCATGAATGGACTGAAGTTCAGCAGACAGGGATGTTGTTGTTTTTCATGCTCATAAAAAGATTTCGAGTCGACATTCCAGACTTTTTCCAAGTGTTTGTGAAGCGCATCCAAAAGATCAGGTGCTGTCCAAAGAAACGGAGCTTCGCTGTAACATCTAATCTGATTGGATACGCAGATGTACAACTACTATATCTGTGTAGTTTATGTCAAAGTTTACAGTTTCACATTTAACCTTTTCATGTCATGTTAGACCCATTTAGTTTTTTTTCTATATTTTTTTTTATAGATTTGATAAAGCAACACAAGGTAGTTCACAATCATAAAGTGTAAAGATAAATGATGCAACACTATCAGATTTTACAAAGAAAAATCTAAAGAGCATGTTGGAGATTTATTTTCAGATCTATCTTTCATAATGCAGTCCTACCCATCATGACTCATCAATTTTCAAGTATTGATACTGATTTTGAACCAGATTCTGGTCAATTCTTTTTTATTTTATTTTTTTCAAAATAAATTTCAGAAATGTATGTTGTGGATTTGTAATCCACCATCTTTTCCACCAGGAGACACTCGGTGCAACCAATCGCCTTCAGAAGTCATTTAGTTCACTGCAGAAACATGAGCTGTGTGATGAGTGAGAGGAATGAACCAACCGTAGAGAGAAAACATTAAAACGTTTACCAGAGGGCAATGCCATGGTAACACACGGTGGTTGTGGCATCATGCTGTGGGTAAGCTTTTCTTCAGCACTGGTTAGAGTCATAAGTAGTTCAAATAGAGGCATATTTGTGTGTTAGGATGGCCCAGTCAAAGTCCAAACCTAAATCCACTTAAGGATCTGCATTGAAACTTAAAGTTAAAGTTCAAACTTATCAGTATTATAATACAGGAAAATGTACGGGGAGCCAGAAGGGTCAAAAATAAATTCAGCGCTAATTCATTAATTAAATGCACCATGAAATAAATGTTTATATAATTTATTTAATAGACAATTGGTTGCAATGACTGCGACAGACTGGCGACCCGTCGAGGGTATTCCCCACTTCTCACCTGAAACGATTGGATAAAGTCGAATTTGGCTCAAAGAATCAAAGACTAGTGGAGTTCACCAGATCAGTGGTAGAACCGCCCGTAACCCCGCCTCTCAGTTCTGACGGCCAAGTTTTACTGATTAACTTATTTTATAGTGACCCTATGAACAGAAACCATTAAATAATTAAATACATATATGCATTTCCTTATCTGCATTGGCTAGTAAGCTTGGATTTTCACAATTCAATCACATATTAAATTTAAATATTTATTTATTTCATGGTACGTTTAATAATGATAACACATCAAACTAGTATAGAGCTTTTTAGGGCACTCAAAGACAATTAATCAACGGTTTCATGATTTATATGTTTAATTTTGTCCCTTTTGGCCCTCCATAGAATGTTGCTGCTGTAATTGTAGCAACAGCCGACTCTTCAATGTATGAATTAGCACACATTTAACATTTTGTTTTTGTTTTTTTTTAATGTCACAACATCTGGCATTTTCTTAGCACTTCATAACTGAGCTGGTGTATCACTTAAAATACCAATTATAATTTTAACAATAGTATTGACATGACACTGGATATTAGGTAATTGTTTTTCCAAAGTGATTTGAATCATTTCCAGAACTCCTTTCTAAGGGCAAATGTCAGAAAAAAAATTAATAAAAATAAAGTCACCTAAAAGTGACGTGAACAACTGGACTTCACAGGCTGTAGCATACAAAAAGTATTCATGTATTGTTTACATCCCATCTGCATGTCGTTTTTAGTCAACCTGATTCTGCTTCTTCAAAATAAAGTGACACTATTTTATAGTAAAACACAGGTACAGTTGAACTAAACATACCAACCCCATAAACAGCAGCATTAAACTGTTGAATATTTACTTCTAGATCAGCAGTCTCTGCACATCCGAAGTCAGAGGCTTCTGCTGAATTGAATGGTCCAAAGGCACCTTCACCGAGTTGATGATATCTAATCAGAGCAGCGATTCGGAAGCCTAACGCCGTTTAAATGCTTAAACAGTAAAAATCCCACAATAGGTCCGTAGAGAGACGGATACCTAGACCTCCCCCTCAATCCGCCCAATGGGCAAGCCAACAATTAGTTTCAAGTGTAGCTTAAAATAAAAAAAAAAGAAGAAGCATGGAGCAGGTACAGCTTTTCCTCCAGACATTTGAGAACTGAGCTGCAAACAGACAACCAGACGTTGCCACATCTCTCTCCATCTTACCCGGTCCCACTGTCTCTCTTTGTTGAGCAGAATAATGACAAGCTTGGGGTGCATCTGGTACCCATCCTCGCTGAACGACAGATTGCGCCCCTCAAATGTCACATTCATCAGGTACCTGCAGAGAGAAACAAGGAGGAGAGGGACAGAGCATCACTTGCTGAAAAACATTGTTGTCGGCGCCAATTTACATATGTCCTAGATACTTACACATCTATTGCTTTGCAATAGATGTGTAAGTATATCGTGTTGAATGGTGTGGTTGCTTTTAAAAAGCCAGAGTCTTTTTTTTTTTTTGACATCTTATACATCTTTGCTCAAAACCGGAATACTTAGACAATGTCAAACAATATTCTTCTCATTTTTATTTCTCTTTCAATTCCAAAATTCTACAGAATAAACGTGTGTATTTCATGTTCACTGCTCTCTCAGTTAAGCAACATTTCCAATCTGACAGTCAATGACTTCACACAACTGAAACGACTCTTAAAAGTTACCAATCGTCTCCTCAAGGTTACAAAACCCTGGACTCTTTACCACCCTCGTCTCATTTACAAAATCACACACTAATTTATAAAAATAAAAAAACACACACACACACACAAAAAAACAACTTGTTTTTTGATCAAAAGTTTGGGTGCTAAGATGAGGTTGCTTTTCGGCCTCATCAAAAATAGATTTATTTCACAAAACTGCAACGGAAACACTTTTTTTGCATCATGAGTCACATGACCAACAACTGGACATTACTACCACTGAAAACCAGTAGTAGCAGGAAGTAGGCAACAGGAAGTGGTTGGAGGACTATGGAGCGGCTTGGTTTTTAATCACTTATCGCGTGAAAAAAACACATTCATGTGTAATTTTAATCTGCGTTTCTTATTTAATGGAAATACGGCAATTGCAAAACTGATTTTTCAACATTAGCAATGGAAACTCAGCTACTGTCCTCTTTTGCTCTGCCGTGAAAAAGTGCTGCTTGACAGACTTGGCCACCAGGTCAGGACTGCACATGTGCAGAAACAATAATCAGCCACAACCAACCATTTCTGAGTCACTATATTTAGTGACTCAGAAATAAACAAAAAAACTAAATTGGAATCATTGCACCCCCTGTTCTCATACCATAGAGTCAGGCTAATTTACTGCATACAATAATCTAAATACTTGAATAGGTTATGCCAAAGAGGAATTATTCTAGAAATATTATTTTCAAGATGATAATGATCCTCAAACACACCATTAAGCATATTGATTCCAGACCCGTTGGAGTAAAATTATGGAGTAGCCAGGCCAATACAAACCCAATGAAGATAATGAAAACAGAGGAACGACCAGTTTGATACAGAAAAACAGGAAACTAGAACTGACCAAACTGGGACACATAAATACTGCCCAGGGACTCATTCGTGTTGTTGTGTGACTTTTTAGACAGTTTAAAGATGTCTCACTTGATTTTCATTTTACTATTGCCCTTACAGTGCGACTCCTAGGAATTCCTACAGGTAGAAAAAGAGCGCAGTGCAATGAACACCATTATTTTATGGACGCTGCATTCTATACTCATCGTTTAAAGCAACGGAGCGGCAATTTCATCACGGCAAACATTTACCGACAGGCCCAGTGGACATCGGCGCGCCCGTGGAGACAAAGCAGCTCGCATTTTGGCGTGTGCACATCTGGGTTTGTATGGGAAAATAAGAAAACCTTATTGCTTCTGCCAAACCAGATCATTTGATCCGTCTGCGAGTGAACGCTGCGCCTTGCGGTGGTTACAGTTGCCGTGAGTGTAGGAGAATTTTCACGTCAGGTGAAATCATCTCTTTCACACACACACGCAAAACATCTTAACCCTTTCAATCTCTCACTCTGCCATCTCCTCCTCACTTTCCCTGTGACTGTTTCCATGGTAACCTTGCATCAAAACCATGCACAAGATACATATGATGATATGGAAAAAAAAGAGAGTAAAATGAGTGGACATGACTGTAAAGTGATTATTTGTAATGCTAATCGGTCCGTCTGTAGCTCGGTGTCTCGTACAATGTGTCTCTGTAATTCGACTTCCTGTATTAAATATTGATATTTTCCAATGGGCTCTTATGATCCGAATCTTCCCGTCTCATGCAGCCCCATGTGTCCGGCTAAGAGCCCCGTCCTGTAGAGTCCTGGCACCGGTACAAAGTGCACAGAATCTGCTGCATAAATCATAAGCCATTTACAAAATGACTCGACGCCACGGCAGCTTTAATCTTTACAGGGGGAAAAAAAGAGAGAGAAAAAGAAACAAGTGATACACGGTGATTCAGGTCTTACATTTAAGCTTGTGTGTGTGTGTGTGTGTGTGTGTGTGTACATTTCAGATAGCAGCGAAACACAAGCATAAGTGTGTTTCCATGGCACCCACAACCACGGTGATTTCTGAGCCAATATGCGGCCGTTGCTGTGGCAACGGTAATCTCACAGAGGGTGGGAATGAGACTAAGTGAGAGGTGGGATTCGGAGGGAAAGAAAGAGGAAGTGGATGGGCGCTTACTACTGGAGCGCACTAGAGGTGGGACATATGGGCTCAAAGTTTTACTATCATATTCTGTTGTTCCATTGTGAAACCATAAAAGTGACAATAAGAACAAATTATTAGGTCTTTTTTTAGGTAAATGTGTGGTTGTGACAGCATCACAGCCCCACAAACACAAATATTTCTCTTGAAAAACATTCCCCTTTGCTTCTTTAGGACACCAGTCGCATAAAGAAGTGTGATTTGTGTCGCTAAGCTGCCCAGTGACTGCATTTAATCAGATTTTCAACTTTATTGACTTTTATCGATACTCTCATTGAACAAACAGTGGAGAAAATCCTGAAAATGCGGACACATTCAGGGGATTTTCATTTATCATGGCAACAACATTATTATGATAAATTTACTATAATAAATAATAAACGCACCTTATGGTCCAGGCCCGTCATGACAACAAAAATTCTTCTGAACGATAAATCGACCCAGAAATTAAACAATAAAGTTGTTTTCAGACCATTTTCAAGTAATGGGAAGTTAAGGGCATAACAACACATCAAGATCAATAAACTTTAAATTCTAATGAGCAGTTATCACTGGAACTGGAAGACATTTAAATATCAAAAATAAAAAAAAATAAAAAAAAAAAACAACAAAGAAAATGAATTCAAAACAAGGAGCTAGTTGAGACCAAATGCCGGAAGACTTTCATCATCCAGTTTTTGGTAGAAAGAGAGACAGAAAACAGTAAATCATGCAAACCATTGAGTTTGTTTTAATTTATCAAGTGATTAATTGATCTGTTTACAGCAACAGGCCTGTGTGGCCACAGACTTCACAGTGAAGCACGGCCTGAACGGAGGGAGGGATTGAAGCAAAGCCGGACCTCGACAGTCTGTCAACTTCACCACAAGAAACGCAGAAAGAAAAGTCCAGTGAAAGCGTTCCTACCGCCTCCTTTAGTCTGAGCTACGAGCTCGCTGCTCATCCTGAGTTCACGCTGTGCGTAAATAAGACAGTAAGAGGAAGCCACACGTCCTCCCACCAATGAGTGTTTTCAAACCCGGCTGAGCCCGTCGGCTCTCCCTGCGGGCCAGCAGAGAGCGCATCCCGGCTGGGCCGTCCCCACCTGGCTCAACCAAAGCCCGCGACAATTCATCCCAATAAATTCTTGAGCAAAACTCGCAAAACAACTGACAAAAACTCATCGGACAACGCAAGCGACGCAAACTTTTCCCGTCCTCGCTGCATGGGCCTGACACAGATAGGTTTCAGCACATGTTCTGCCGTGAATAATGGAGGAGTCGCGTGAAATATTGATAAGTCAGTTTTAATAAATTAACCGCGGCATCAATTAGTCATGAATTACACTCCTTAGCAATTATTGTAGTATCGGATTTGCAAAGAGGGGGAAAAAAATAAATAAAAAAATCAGACGTGAGGGATGATAAAATGACCCATATGGTGTTGTGGCATATTGTGGCTGTGCAGTGTACACAC